GAACCCCCCGAAGAATAAGCTCAGAATACGTGGACGAGCGAGTCAACCAGCTAGCCGCTTGTGCGTTGCAGATTGCGTAAGAATGAGTTCTGTTGCCCACGGCGGATCAGATTTGGGGGACTCCGTGGCAGGAGCTCTGGGCGACAGATGTGCCTTATTCTGAGAATTCCAATCTCGAATGGAGAATCAGGGACCGTTTGACCCCGATGATCCTAGTTCCGGCTCCGGCAGTGATACACCCGATGATGGCCTCATGGAATCGGAACATTTCGCAGCAAGCTACATTATTCTGTCGAGAAGAGAGTCTTCCCGATTCGTCCCGGGCGCACGCTCCGTATGACGGAGACTCTCCGTCGGGAAGGGTGAGCTTTCGCAGATATCGAATTCAGGAAACCCCTCTGGTTCGCCGAATTAGTCCTTCACCGCGGATCCGCACTACATGCAGCGGGCGGTACCGCTGCTGCTGCTGTTCCTGTTAGAGCACTCCTTATCGTACGGAAAAATACCAGAATTGCACCGCGATGACACGGCGCGGATTCTTTTTTTTTTGGTGTCGCAGCTCGCAAAGGGATGACCCTATAATTCTCAAAAGGAACTGCGAGTGCGAAAAGGGGGAGGGGGACTGGGGGGAAGCTAGGAGGAAAAGGTGAAAGAGCCATAGGAAAAAATGCATTGACGCACCACCCAGAAGAGTGGAAAATTCAACCGGAGTGTGGGGCTCATGTACATGATACCCACTAAAAAAACCTATGGCTCTTTACCTGAAGGGAGAGAGCGGATAGTGTTGGATTTGAAGAGTTTCGGATCGTACGTTGGAGGGAAGACATGAGGGGGAAGGGCATTCCATAGACGGGATGTACGGGGAAAAGAAGTGGAGGCGAATTGAGCAGTACGATTGGAGGAAAGTTGGACAGAGTAGGGATGCTGCTTGGTACTTCTCTGGATTCCTCGGCGATCCTTACCTCATCGAGCCATTGCGAGCAGGAGATCAGCTCCTTGAACACGAAGGCGGACGCGATGCTGGCGGCCTCCCTCCTATACTACATTCGGAAAGTAGCTGAACACCAAGCGGCTATCTGCGATGGAGACGACGTCGTGCAACGAGCGTCTACCGACCCTACTCCTGGAGACCACCCGCGAGTCCGGAGACTCGAGCGAGACGATCTTTCGCACAAAATGTTTTCCGCTCAAGCCTCCGAGAGGCATGTCAATCGGTGATTTGCGACCGTAACCTGACCGATCGAAGCTCGTTTCCCGCCAATGACGTCTGAGTCCGGGGCTTCATCCCGCGAATACACGTCCCCTAGGTGCTGGAATCTCTCATGAAACCAGAACCGTGCGTAGCGGCACGAAGATCAGAATAAGGAATGCATTCCAGCCGCAGGATTCAGACAGACTGACTCCTCTTGTATGGTTGATGGTGTGGGTTGCAATCGCAGCGAAAAAATGTCGTCTTCGTCGAGTTGAAAGCCGGCGGCCATAAAAGCGTACTTTGAATCGTTATTTTATTATTCGCCGTTGGTCTCGTTCCTTTTGTTCGAGTCGTCGCCTCGACGGCGGGGCCGAACGATGAAGCTTTCAAGAACTTCTTAGAGACTGTCGATCGGAAGAAGTCTCCGCTGGTGGCCTCGAGCGATGCGTTGCTCAAAGATCGTCGTTCCGACATGTCCGTTTGTCTATACTGGGCGCTCGAAGCCATTTCGAGCATCCGATTCTCCGTGTCCAGCAGCTCTCGACGTTTCCATTCCCGACCCGGTCGTCGCCGTCCGTCGTCGGTCTGTCGTTCGGTCGCTTGCTTGGTCGTCCCTCTAAGCTGTACAATGACCCTCGCTCACAAACTCAATCAGCCGAGTGGGCCAGTGTCCCTCGTCATTGCGACCGGCGAGCGCAGGAAAGAACTTGAGAGAAACTCTGCTTGGGAAGAGTGGGCAACGCACTCGAGTCGATCTGCGAGAACACTCATTGCCCGACCGCACATCGACTCCAGAGAGATCGAAGTCGAATATATATTCTTATACATATATCCCCTTATAGGAGATTCCTCTGTAACCGGGAGACGTCTCGACAGCGGCGCGGCGTCGCGTCGTAGGGTTCGTCCCTGGTCCGCGAGAAGGAATTAAGAAATTCACTCTCCTTATGCTAATAAGCCGCAGTGAATCTGACGACATTCCCAAAATGGGTCGCATTCCCACCATCTGGAGATTTCCGGGAGTATTTCCTTCAGGGCAGGAGGAACTCACAGGGAACTGATTGGTTCCGTGAAGAGCTTAATTATACAGCCAGAATCCGATGCATAACATAGTTCTTACTCGTCGGAGAATCCCATCTGACTCGGTCGGGAAGTATTCCATGCTGAATTAAAATATATTCACGAGATGCATCGCACAATCGGACGCTATTAGCTAGGCAGCACCGGGATGCGGCGAGCGCGAAGTGGGGGAGGGGAAAGGCAGAGGAACACCACCGCGGATGCGGGCACCGGACCTGACGGACGGTAAGGCGCACCGATGGACGAAGGGGATACATACAGGGTGCGAACGGAAACGCCGAAGGCTAATTCTCAATCAGTCGGCTGTATTGTGGATGCTGTACACGGAACCGTTTCCAGCGTCCCGCGTCGTTCTGTCGCAGCATCGACGAATGCTGGTCAATAAACATGTGTATGTCAGCCCGTATGCAGGAAGTATGCTGATGTCAATTTGACCATATCATTCGCTTCCCTAGGATTCTCGGGACTCAATTTATCCTCCAATCACGTTCTCCGTTGGGCCGTGATCAAAAACCGGTCCGGTCTTGAAAATCGAACTCAATGACGAACGAAGGGAAAATTTCTCATGCGGATCCTTGGTTCCACACGGGCGGCCAGTGATCTCCTCGTTGGCCGCGCCTGATAATTTTCGAAAAATAATTTTCGTGCCCATACTGTGGGAACCTGAATCCGCTCACCTATCGGAGAAGTTGATTTTCCTCGCTTGCCTCTTTTGTTACACAAAGCGATGAGTCGGGGATTTGGCTCAATGGGAAATGGGATCATACCTACCGCCTTAGAGACGATCTACTCTCATCGGGGATCGCTGCCTAGAATAATCTGTTCTGCATGCATTCAAGACGGGAGCCAACTACAGCACACCAAGGCGCTAGCGGACTTCAGTCGGACGGGGAGAAAATCAGAATTTCTCGGAGCATAGCCTTCGACTTCGTAGGGATTTCAATCTGCCGTTAGAATTCATTGCCTCCGGACTGCCGAAACGAGATTTCCGCGGATTAAAGATTTCCTTCGCTCGGGGGCGCGCTATCGGGGATCCGTATCATCGGTCGCTCTCGATCATCTAACGCGCGGTTTCCAGACGCTGAACACGGGCTCTTCATGGATGTCTCATGCACTCCGAACATTCCCAGCGGATTCGGAGTGACTTCTCCGAGAGGGAATCCCCTGGAACGCGAATGTGCGCAGCGAATGGAATGGTGAGTTTCTACGGATGATCCTCCTCCTATCCCGGTTGTCTGCAAAGCTCTTGGTTTACCGTCTGGCATCAGACAGAGCGTATTGAAAGTCCTATGCGGAGAAGGTTGTCGCTCCGATGTATCAATAATGTGGGTAATGATGATGAATGTAGAATGATGAATCTACAAAATACTATCCGCGGGAATCTCTCTCGGGATCTGTCCTCGGGAGCAGTGCCCCATCGGTGATATCCGGAACGTCAAAGGTTTGGCTGTGTGGTACAGGAGTTTTTTTCTTCTGATTCAGATCGCGAGCTATGCATGCCATTTCCCCGAGGTTCAGTCGTCATCCAAGGCAAATCTCGGTGCTCCGATCAGAAGGATCGTAACCGTTCCGCAAACCGAAAATCTGACCACGATGACGCGGCGTGGAAAACACGATATATTCCCGAAGATCGGAGGATTGAATCCGAGGCGTTCTGCTGCTAGTCACAGAAAATGCAATTCGGAAGATTCGTGTATCTAAAAGGGAGAAAGTTCAGACCCCATGAATTACACTTTCGATGGCTCGAGTCAGAAGACGGGATTTTTCGGAAGGGGCGCCGAATCCCGCCCGGTCCTCACACCGCCACGTCACGTGATTGCGTCGGGGATTCCTGCTGGTCTCCCGATCAAACTCATGCTTTTCCTCGCTCATTCATCAAGTGATCCGCTCGTTTTCGTGGAATGCGTTTCATGTTTTATTAAAATAATAAATCGGTTCCTCAATTGTGATCGTCAAGTTCTAGAGTTCCTTTCGACGACTATATCAAAATAATAATCGATCACTAAGCGTTCCATTTTTATATACAGACCAATGAAATTATATCTTCCTCAAACAAGCGCGCGCTCCATGGGAAAGAAGCGTGACATCACATCGATCTCCGCCGGATTCTTCAATACCCAGAAATGACGATCATTGAGTTGTAGTCAATGCTCGAGTATGCCCTGTCCTCCACGGGATTTCGATCGACCCGGACCCCCTCCATGCCTACGTTGCCCCACGTTCGACGATCACCGATGACCCGTATCCGGAAGAAATATTATCGATTGCGCACCTCACCTTCCTGATCTGCTCCGATCGTCAGAAATCGGTAATTCTGTGCGTGACGTCCGCGTGGTCCGATGTCCACCTCCGCGTCGACTATCAGCTGGCGGCAAATAAATATTTGAATTATTGTAAGGGCAGATTGTTGGCCTCGATCGATGGGACATTGAAATCGTTGCCCATGGACGCGTCATTTATTAATGAGTCCCGGTGTCGAAAGCATTAGTATACCGTGATAAAAATGCTTGTAACCTGCTCCAGGTCCGTGCCTTTCATCGCTACATATATATAGTATACACATTCATTGGAGACGTTCACAACTTTAACTGCCGCCTAAACTGTACACGTCATTGGATTCGGGGAGGTAAAATGAACAGTAACAGATTTGTCAGCTAGGGAAGACTGTGGTTCTGCATCGTGGAGTAGTTCTGGGATCGCGCTTATATTATTTATCTATAAATTTGACTCGACCCAACGTTCCGCGTGTCTCTTGGGCATTGAATCCAGCGAAACCAATCAGAAACTACTTTCGTGTCCCGCGAGAATGAATAGATTCGACGGTCCGGTCGGCTTGTCCACGCCACGACTCTCGACAACGATGACGCGTTCTCCGATCTCGCAGCCCGGATCCGCGGCTGTGAAACCGATGTACTTGCTGTTGTCCGCCGTGAGGACCCGGAGTATTCTCGTTGGATCGCAGATCTCCTGGACCAGGTCCCCTGTTAGAAGACTCTTGCCTTGCATTCCTGTGGAGGAGAGAAGGAATTAAGTCAATCAGGTCGAAAATCTCAACCCGGCTTTAGGAGTGAGTTACAGCGAAGGTTATACGGAGCAAGCGTTCGGAAATCCTCCGTTCTGGACGGATATAAGCCCGAACGTGCATGGAGAGTCTCTCACCGTTTTTGTGGAAAGCGAGTACGGAGTCAGACAGGCAGACGATTTGTTCGATGTTGAAATCGAACTCCAGGGTATCGGGCCGCATCGAGGTCGATTTGACGCGCCCGCCGAGGTTCACGATCTTAATCTCTCTATCCATGCAGACCAACAGTTCGTCTTGTTCGAGTTGGAGCGCGCTGAGCGCGTTGCCTTTAGCCGGAACCATTGTTTCCGCGTCTTCGTCGTCTGGAGAGCCGGTCGAGTTGACGAGATTCAGGTCGATCATCTCGAGCTTCATGTGCTTATGATTCGATGTGGCGTGCGCCCCGATACAGAGGATCGGAAATTCGGCCTCCGAAGAGACAATCATTTCACAGAATCGAATTCGCGGCGGCAGCATCATCTCCACCTGTTTGACGTGCATGAATTTCGCCATTGGATTGTACCATTGCATGAGAAAAACTCCGCCGTGCTGGAGAACTCCACAGAGATATTTAAAGCCATTGTAGGGGTTTCGACCGACGCAACACTTGAGGCAGCCTTTCGTGTCCTGCACTTTGGCGCTGGTCGTGTAGCGTCGCGGAACGAGTTTCTCGGGAATTCTGTTCAACGAGAAGGCGGTCTGACCCTTTCGATTGTGTAAAGCGATTAGATCGTGCCGGAAGAGCTGAGCGTTCTTCCCCGACAACGACATGAGTACGTCACTTATCACGAACAGCCACGTGGTCCGCCGGGGGAAGATCTGGTCCAGACAGGCGTCTCCAACCTCCTTCAAATTCAGAGTGTAAATTCCTTCCTCGCAGCCTAGAATAATATGTTGATCTCGGGTATCGGGGTGGATCCAACTGGCGGCCGAGTTCACTTTCAGTGGGCATTCGTTGAAGATTTTCGAGAGACCGGCACCCATGTGCACCTTGGGCGTGGGCGGAAGTCCATTAGTACTGATCCTGCACGCCGTTTCTTGTTGTTGACCGTCTTTCCGATCGTCCTGTTTCTTCCGCCGTAATCTCGGCGGAGGCTCGGGACCTTCGGGAGACGGAGTTTCTTCGTCGCTCCGGGGCGGGGACGTCGCCGGTACGGGCGGGGGGAGAGCCTCTTTGTGATGTGCCCACTGCGAGTTGCCCATTAGCGATTCTCCCATTGGGAGGGTGGCCCTCTGTTGGAGTTCCTCTTCGACGACTTCGAGTAAACTCTTTTCCAGATCTCTGATCTGAACCTCCTCGTCGAGTCTCTTCGCCTTATCTCGTGGCGACGGCTGCACGGATGGCCTCCGGTCCTCTCTGCCCCGAGAATCCACAATTTTCTGCGGGACGTTGTTCACCAGCTCGTCCTCCTCTTCGTCGTGCTGATATTCGGCAGCCGTGGGATTTTTGACCCTTTCGATTAGGTTTGTGATGACTTCTTTGCTCAGCTCGCCGATCAGGAACGGATGCAGCAACATCTTATCGGCCGTCGGCCGTTTTTTCGGGTTCTTCGTCAACGCGAGTTTCACGAAACTGTGGAAGTCGAGAGACCACTTCTCCTTGTCCTTTAGAGTCGGCGCTTTGAAGCTCGACTTCGACATGAGGAACAGTGCGCGCATCGGATGCAGGTCGAACATCGGTGGCTCGAGTTCCGCGAGTTCGATAGCCGTGATGCCCACGGCCCAAATATCACATTGTTGATTGTAGCCGCCTTTCCGTTCGACGGCAGCGACCTCGGGTGCCATCCAGTACGGGGTACCGATGAAGGATTTCCTTTTCGCGATTGTCGTCGTGATTTTTGCCGAAACGCCGAAGTCGGCCAATTTCACGCCCCCCTCGTCCGTAAGCAAAATATTGGCGCCTTTCACATCGCGATGCATCATGTTCAGATCGTGCAGGTAGTAAAGGCCTCGGAGCGTTTCGCGGCACACGTACGCGATCTGGTTCTCTCTCAAGGGACCCGTGATATGGTAAATGTCCTGCAGGGAGCCGCCACCGCAATACTCCATGCAAATCCATAGTTTGTCGCGGCGAAGGTAACTGCCGAAGTATTTGACGATATTTGGATGGGTACATCCCTGCATCATGAGAATCTCTTGTTGTATTATGCTGAAGTCGTCGCCGGCTTCGAGTTTGATGACCTTGATTGCGGCCATCTCCCCCGTGCTGATGCGCTTCGCTTTGAAGACATCCCCGAACGTCCCGCTGCCGACCCTTTGAATGAGTTGGTATTCGTCGTGCGGGTTGCGACGAGAGATGTCCGCGTGGTTAGGGGTCCCGGAAGACGCCATGTTGATCGATCCGACGGCAACAGCAGAATATTGTCAGAGCGCGTAGTAGCCATCGCCGTGACTAAGTCCGAAACATGGGACTCCCGTGTCGGTGGAGGCACGGGCGACTCATTACCCTGCAATGGAGAGAAGGCCAACGATCACATTAGATATTTGGGATCGTAAATGATGTGACTTTTTCCGGGAGTTTCAAATATGGGATCTGTTCAACCTGGAACTGTCGATCGCAGGTTCTGGGGAAACTTGGCTCGGAACTAGCTCAGGGGCTTCGATCACACAGTAAGACGCAGAATAGCAGCTCGGGGATTCGGTTACAGTGTTCGTCGTTTATTTCTATCTAGCCGCTGCTCGAAGACAGATCTAGTATATAGGATGAGAGCTATCCTCCGAGAGGATGCTTGATCACCTAGGGTGATCTACTTAGGCTTCAACCCCTTAGACAGACGAAGGAGTTTCGATCGGACTTGATTGATGGTTCCGGAGTCCTCTTCGTCTAGCTAAGTGTCGGGAGTCTGGAATCGAAAGCTCACTATCTAATCGAAATCCCTATTCCTAACAGGATCATAATCAAATTCTACACAAACTTCGAACGGAATTCAACCACCTGACACTACGCACAACGCTTTGCTTCCGACGACGGCGATCATAACGACGACAACTACCGACGACTACTAGTCGCACAATGGCATTACGCTGGCGCCGTCAAAAGGTCGGATCAAACCATCTGTTGCAACGAGGGCTAAAGCGCGAGAACTCCACCGTGAACGACTTCGTTCGGAACACTGGATCTCGAACTCGAGCTATCGGAGGACTCGCGATAGGATGCACAGGATCCTTGGACGAGTATCACGTCTCCGGTGGCCCTGAGATCCCGCGAGCGAGCGGTATATTTCCGGATACCGCATCGGAATTCACCCGTGCTTTGCTTCCAGAGACACGAGACCGATTTAGAGACAGACACCTAAACGACATCGGGCGGGCGAGCCAAGCCTGGCGGATGGCTCTCACACGGCCCGAATCGAATCATAGAAGAGAGCTATACGTTTCACGCGGCCACCAATCAACCAAACTTTCATCGGTTTCAGGAAAGTTCACGAATTAAATACGAGGAGGAAAGGACGTGAAACGAACAAGAGAACAAGCGATGGAAGCCTCCACCGATACATCTGTGACAAAGTCGCGTCGTGGGCGTCGACGCCCCCGTAGGTTGCAAACCTCTCCTGGAATTTCATAACACCCCAATCCTCGAGCAATCGGAGCGCTGGAAAGCGCTGTGCGCTGCATCGTAAAATATCAGTGCTTCGAAAATACCATCGATTCTGAACTCAAAACCATCACAAGCGTCGACTGTGCGTCTGTCGGAGCGCTTACACAGAGGAACCGTTGTGCAACGATTGAGGATCGGAAGTGGATCGCGCGAGGCTCTCATCGACTGTTTGCTCCCGATGCCGCCATCACCAAATCGCGGATGGAAAACAAGACCGGACATCAACTAATTAGTGAGCTGATTCTCGTCGACACGAAAGCACATTCGTAGCTTTATTACGACGGCCGGCTCCCGGCCGCGTGGGAAGCCTTAGAACAATGGATCAGAATCTTATGGAGAGTTTACGTCAGGTGGGTATCTTCGTGTATCGCAACGCCACCCACATAAGGACAGCCGCAGATCATCCATAGGTCTCTACCTCTAGCCTCCGCCTGAGTTGCGATACCGATGTGCCGAATTTTCGATCGGAGAAAGAGCGACCCCGCACAGCTACCCGAAATGATGTGTGTGGACTCAAACTCTCGAAGCAATACACGAGACAACTGAATGCCCCGTCTCACGCGCGACTTAGTCTAAATGAAGGTTTGATTCCTCATGTGCGGGGGTATTTCGAGTTCGTGACGATCACGTCCTCGAGACGCTCCTCATACCCTCGAGCGTGGGATCCTAGAGTTCCCGATTTGCTCGTCGAGCTCCCCACTGGAGACGGAGTTCCTGGAGGGCGTGAACGGGGAAAATGCTCGTGATGATTCGACACCTTTCCCCGTGGATGAGTTCCGTCCTCGCGGAGAGCTCCGCAGCGACGGAAGAGACAGTAGGCTATCCCATGAGAATGAAGGAATCGATAAGCATTCGATATTTTTCCTCTATATAAGTCGTGTTGGAGCGGCTAGGTTCTTACGTATCGCGTTCACCAGGTGGACGGCTTTTTTTTACCGTCTCGAGCACGAAGAAAGAGGGGCGACCGAAACAAAACAAAATAAATCGAAGCGTGGCCACTAAATCACGCCCTCTTCACGGATGCACTTACAGAGACACCTGCCAGCAGACGGAACAACGGGATGGATTTAGAAACGATCCTTAGGAGTTATCACGTGAAGCAATGCTTTGTTCCAGTTCGAAATACATCTCCGAATCTCGGCTTAATCGCCCTCGAGAGTTCGAGTCACCCACGAACGTCGTCCGGTACCCCACGACCGATGAGAGCCAAGTCGCCGCAAATCCCGGCCAGTCTTCACCGTATGATTCCCGCTACGCTCCACAGTGGAATGACTGCTGACCATTGAGGCTCATCAAAACCGTCATAAGCGCTTGTCAGAGATTGGAGTTCCAATGATATTTTCTCTTGTCTAAAGGCCCAACTGGAAGGCCACACAAGCGGTAGTCAACGGTATAATTGAGTCGCTGTGGGCCTCTTCGAAGCTCTTCAGAAAAGCGGCAATTTACGGATTTTAACAGGTCGCTCGTAGCAGTTTCTACGCGGTACTCTCGCGACTTTGACGCCTTTCAGAGACCATAGCCGAAGATCGACGCCGTGCCAGGAAAGACAAAGTACCGCATGCACTTAGCAGCGAATTTAATTGACAATTCAAGTGATGGCGCTGAAGCCGCTTCACCGAAGTTTGTTTTCGGCGAGAAATTCCCTTCGGGATTCAGAATCCGACTAACAGGTTGTTCTCGGAGCCCCTTCCAATCGGCAGGCCATGAAGGAGGCTGTCAATATGAGACAAGACGGGATAATCTTCAACTAACTCACTTGTTCAAATGCTTGCTCACAAACTACGAACGTATGATGTAGAACGACCGAACTCAGCAACCTACTTCACTGCTGTGTGTGTGTGAGTGTGTATGTGTGTGAATGAGTGAGTGAGTGAGTGTGTGGTGCTGGTGGTGAGAACCGTCTCGTCGCGCTCAGCGCTAGTGATCTGTGCTGAAATTTTGACCGGAATCGGGCGGTCTCTTCTACCATTTTCGACATCGCCATCTTCCTCTAGGATCGCTGATGCCACCTCGCTCGGATGCCGTCAGCTGTGAGATCTGAATCAATCGAACCATCAGATCGACCGGTTTCGGGCCGGAAAGCCCGAATACCCATTAGCCCGAGAGCTGAGTCGGACCCCCCAATCTCAAACAGTTCCTCTAAGCGGGAGAGTTTGGAGTTTGGAAGATCGAGGTTGCGAAGCCTGAACGTGCTGCGTGGTCTGGAGGAACAACTCTCGGTCTTCTTGCTAATGCACCGACAAAAATATTTCTCCCCCTTCTTCTTATCGACCTCGTACATGAAGTCATCGGCCCGGAAAAAAGGATTCTTGCTGGCTGACAGGATCTCTTGGACACTCAATTCCATATTCACTTGGACCTTAACTTGAAACGAGTCTCTGAGCCAGGCAAGGAACGAAGCTCTCTATCGGACTCGAGGGAAAATAGAACGCTGATATGTTCCCCTACGGGAGAATGTGAAGTCGCTTCATCCGCGAACGTGTGTACAGGCAGTTCGATCTCTTGGGATCACTCTTTCGTCGTAAACAGAATTGGTACATTTGATCTACTCCGACTAACAAGCCGAAAGCAGAACCATCGCCCCAGTAGACGATCGATGGATCGGCCAGAATATGCATTAGTCCAAAATGTCGAACAATGCAGTTGTTCCGAGCAATTGGCCTGGAGGTCGACGTCCAAGTTCTTCGCTTGTGCTTGCATGACAATCAGCTCGCAGTCGTCGTGGGTACCCACGGAACGAATTGATCACCTAGAACCTAGATCACCCGGGTCTCGCTGAGGAGCCCCGTCGGCTCTACTGTGGCTGTTCTCGCTGCTCCCTAGGTACCTCTTCTGGGGATGGTAGGACCTGCTGATCAGGCGGGACTTCATCTCGCCATCCAGATGGGGTTCAATGAATATCTCACGTCGGTCCCGGCGCATCCCTTGCCTCATCTCTCAACGGAACCATCGCCAACTTCGCAAATAGGCAGGCCAGGAGGGTAGAAACGCGAAAGTTTCCGGATGATCCATAAATTCATTAGTTCGTACGGGCACGCTCCATTAGACACCTGAGAAAAGAGTAGAGCGGGATCTCGCCATCAGATATCAGAGCTGAATCGGAATGTCACAGGAATTGGGCCGCTCTTCCAGAGAATGGGAGCTGCTTGTTGACGATGTATGTCGAAGACGATCAATGTTGATCCCCAGCTCGCCGACCTCTGGGATCTGATTTTGAGATACAACTTCGGTGAGTCCGCCCATGAGTGTAGATCCGGACAAAAATGCCTGAGTTGCCCGCAACTCGCAAGGTTTTGTTGCTTCGAGATACTCGTCCGCGACGGAGTTCAATGTTATCAGTTCATCACTCATCAGAAGTTCCGCGACTCTGAGGTAGAGCTCGAAAGTTTAAGCACTATGAAATTGCGCAGAACCGATCGACGAGAGAGTGGGAGCAGTCGGCATCGCCAAGCTGATGGCGATGTCGAAAATAGTGGAAGCGACCGCTTGATTCCGGTCACTTTCAGCGAAGACCACTAGCATCATTGTATACGCACTTCCACCTTCGAGGAATTTCATACTGCGTGCTCCTGGAACGCACTTCCCATGGACTCAGCATGCGTACAATTTCACGCTATCATAAGCATACGTACCAGCGCAAGAATCAAACGTGGCTCGTCGCGCTACTAGTAGAGCAACGCAGGACCTGATCGGTGGAGATTCGTCTGCTAACGATTGCTTAGAGGAGGGAAAGCCTAAGCGGAAGCGGCGGGAAGCCCGACGACAACGACGGCAGATGCGGAGATTGACTCAGGAATTCCAGATATTTCCCATTCATTGGTTATTGCCGATACGCAAGAGCTCTGAATTAATTGGGTTTCCCGAGCAATTCAGGAACATCATCGCCGGGGCGAGCTCCACTGGCGCTCGTTGTCCCCGAAATTCCGAAGGCAAATCATAAAAAGTGTGGGCACAGCTAATGAGAAGGTCGGGCGAGTTAAGGGAGGTGGGGGAGCACGCAAGCCGCGGGATGATTCACTAATCCAAGGAGGGCTACGTTATGAAAACTTCGACTTGAATAGGCCGATTCATGGAGCCTGTCAACTTGAAAAGGCAGGGCTTCTACCTTCACGACATTTCCAGCGGAAGATCTCCGGCGCAGATTTGATCGAGCACCTCATAGAGTTTGATTTCAGAGGAGCTGAGGGGAATGTCGTGGAGCGAAAAAGAATTAGAGAGAGCTTGGATCGCCGTCGAATTCAGCGATTCGAGTTGGGATCCGTTCCTTCAAGTATCCGCGCGGATTGCCTCGCTCCTCCCGCCCGTGATGCCGATGATATCCACCTGCCTGATCTCGACACGAACAGGAAGGGAGTCGATCTCGAGGAGCTCCTAGATTACTGGTCCCCAACCTCCGTCACGCCGTTGAGCCTGAAGCGACCCGAATTCCGTAGCCTTCCCATCGGGAAGAATGCGGATGTCTACCTGTGGATCGACCCTGGATGCAAGACATCGTGACGGGCGAGACGAGAATGATAATAATCTCCTCCGTCGTCGAAGCGACTTCTGCACAATACCTCAATCGAAGAAAATCTCACGATAGGGATCGTGAATCTCGTGTTCAAGTCTCCCGCAACTCCGAACGTGGCTCTAGATCGGCCTCCGAGGGACGAAATGAAACGTTAATCATGTGAAACGTCTAGCTAAAGTCTTCATTATTGTTCCGGAGGCTGTTGGAGTGGAGAACAATCCCTCACGACGGTTAGTAAATATACGTGAAGGATACAAGCCGAACACGGAGCAAAGAAGAGATCCTCTGGACCTGGCGTTCGGATTATTATCATCTGATTGTTACTATTATCGGTCGGCAAGCCGCTGTGCTTCATGATCGTCGAACCATTGCTCAGGAGTGACCTCGGTGCTCGATGTTGAACGCCTGTCGTAGCCTATGGGATCGTTCGTCTCTGCGCTGTGCATGGTGGACGGCGACGGTTCCCGAGCGAGCCTGAATCAGCGAGCCTTGCAATTCAGATCTTAATCGACGGGTATGCGTCTGCTCGTTGTCGCTCTAAACGACGGAAACTCCTCCTGAGCGGAAAGCGGGAACAACACGACGACAGGTGCGGGAATTCCTCGGGAATCTCGAATTCTCTTCAATCAACGCCCACGGAGAAGAGCACAGACATCCGATACCATTCTCGGTTGCGAGCGATATCGGAACTTGACGCCGGCGCCTGAGGCTACGCTTCGAGCTAGCTGTCCCCCGAGTTGCGTGGAGAGGCAGACCATAACAAGTGATGTCATAATCGTGGGAAAATCGAACCAGATAGGTGAGTGAGTTCCGCGGTGCTTCTGTAGGATGATTCGATGTTCCAAGACAGGCGGCGTTATCACAGCTCCGATTTGATTCCCAGCACGGATTACGACCATACATACGGCCAACGAATCGATCGAACGCTCCGAGCGTGAACGACTCAACTGCCTTTATTCGCAAAGCTCGTCAGAGGGGGTTCTCTGTCGCAGATTCCATCCTCGTGACGAGATATCGAATTCGAACGAGGGGAGAGGAGACTGAAGCGTTGACTTCCGACAGGAGCCCTACCAGAGCTTAGGTCCACAACCGCTCCGGTCTCTGCGCGGACATGGCCTCAGTATTACCGCCCGAGGCCGCCGAGGATGTCCACCGCTCGGTCTCTACGCTCGAAACGCTGAGGAAAAAATCGAAATTCGATGAGCTTCTCGAAGAGCGCTGGAAGCGAGCTCCACTGTGGTACACACTCGGGGCCTTACCGAACAAGCGTCTGGAGGGAAACTACGGTTTCGTTGTCGAATTGAACGAGCAGCGAGCGACGAAGAGGAGGAAAGCCGAGGATATCCAGAGCATTCGGCAACCCTTCGACCCGAGCCGTTTCAACTTCAACAAAGTTAACGATCGCGAGATTCTGTTCCGAGACAACGAGAACGCGCTCATCGCAAACGTCGCTCCCTTGGGTCCGTGCCAAACGCTTGTTGTTCCCTCGGTGTCGGCTTGTCTCCCGCAGATTCTAACCGCCGCAGGTCTGAACCTGACTCTGGACCTCATGTTTCGCTCTGGGTCTCCGGACCTCAGAGGAGGATTCAATTCTCTCGGGGCTTACGCATCTGTTAATCATCAGCACCTACATCTGTATTACGTGCGGCATCGGATGCTTCTTGAAACGATATTCGCAGAGCCGATCGGACCGAAGCTCTTCTCGCTCAGCGATTACCCCGCCAGAGGCCTCCTGCTCGCAGTCACATTCGATGACCGATCGAGCGTGGAATTGCTCCTACACGTGACCGACCTCCTGCTAGACAGTGACATCGTCTTCAATATCTTCCTAACGCGAGGCTCTGCGCCGGGCGTGCGTTATTTCTGTGCGCCAACGACATACGAGGTCATCCGAATATATCTGTGGGCGAGGAAGCCCCGGATGGGAGTGAAAGACTCTACTAAACTCAATCTGGCCCTCTCCGAACTTGGTGGGCACATTCCTGTCAAGAGCCAGGAGGCATACGACTCGATTTCAGAAAAACACATAGTTGAGGAGCAGAAATTACTATGCGACGAACCCTTTGAGCAGATGCGAAAACTATTGCAAGACAATAAATTATTGTTCCCCTAACTCGATGTTATCATCATCTCATCATCTTCACCGCTACCTAGGGCCGCCACGGAGGTCTAATCAGGGTATCACGAGCAATCCTGTTGGAACGTCTCGGACTCTCCGGGATTTTCCGGCATGCTTTCTCGTGATTGAGCAAATCTACCTTCATCTTGCAGATATGTCGTTCTTCAGGAGACCTCTTCATTATGTATTCAAAATCGCCGATCGCAAGGCTACCATGGATTTTTATATGAAAATTCTCGGTGAGTTCCGATCACCTTGAGAATTCCTCTCAAAACAGAAACCCCGAACTACGATCGATAATTTCCCAATGGCTCTTCAGGCATGCGTGTGTTGCGACATGAGGAATTCGAGGAGGGTTGCAAGGCGGCCTGCAACGGCAGGTAATATATGTATCTATTAATACGAACCAGTCTGCGGGCCGTGGCCAAACAGAGGAGAGGAATTTCGTATAACCACTAGCTTGGAATTTTCCTCGTAGATACGATGGTCGTTGGAGCAAAACCATGATCGGTTACGGATCAGAAGATTCGCATTTCGTCCTGGAGTTGACGTACAATTACGGGATTCCGAAATACAGGCGGGGCAATGAGTTCCACGGTATCGTCATCCAAGGGGAGGATATCGTTGAAAGGTAGGAGGCACTCTGTGGCTCGACATGGGAGATTTTCGCCGATCCACAAACCAACAAATAAAATTCTGTTCCCATATACATATTGTAGAGCGAAAGCTGCCCAATATCCAGTCGATGAGGATGACCACGGACAGACCTTTTTGGAAGCCCCTGGCGGGTATCGTTTCTATATTCGATGTGCTCCATCAGAGGGTGATCCGGTGAAACAGGTAAGACATGGGATTTGTATGCGTCGATCATGATCGACGACAATGAACATTATGAATAATCATTATTGTCCACTCAGCGGCAGCATTCTTCACCTGGAAGAGCTCTTGGCTCGGGGATCTCCCGCGTTCAAGATCAATTATCGTACATATGTCTTGTTCAATTTGGGTGCCTACCGCATTCCCTTCACTCGCAGGTCATCTATAATAGCTCCTGTATTGAACAGACAGAGCGCTTCTGGAGGAATGTCCTCGATCAGCCCGTAGAGAAGGGAGAAAACTCTATCGAGGTCTCCACTTGTCTCGAAGGTTTCACTCTCAAGTTTCAAAAGCTTCCATCTTCCCTCGATCGAGGGGAAGCGTTCGGTCGAATCGCGTTCTCCTGTCCAAAACAGAGTATACCGGGTAAGTCGCATCTTTGTTTTTCCGTTTACCGGGTAGAGACGACGGCTCCCTAGCCCCGATGTCCACCATCGTCGGCGAGGTATCTCACGATTCTTGAAATTTCTTCTCCTTTTACAGAAATCGAGAGTGCAGTGAAAGCGGCGGGGCTTGGGTCAATTATCACTCCCCTAATCAGTCTCGACACTCCTGGAAAAGCGACGGTACAAGTTGTCATCGTTGGCGATCCAGATGGTCACGAAATCTGCTTCGTCGGAGATGAAGCCTATCGGGAGCTTTCGCAAGCAGACCCCGGCTCTGAACAGGTCCTGTGGAAGAAAGTCGAGGAGTTCGAAGGCTGGAAGTCTTCCGGCACACGCTTCTAGTGCTTCATCGAGGACCTTGGGAACGCTGAACGCGATACTCACATCCTGAGTAAATGCTGGAGCTCTTCAATCCATAATCGCTGGCGATTGATCGGATATCCCTTCGATTCATCAGCTGCAATTTTCCCCACCAAGTGTTCAAAGTCGATAATGAGATCTGAAGGCTCGCGAGCCCGAGGGGCCTGAGAGTCAATGGCGTGTTCGATCATGATCCGTCGATGTTATTTTTCCCAAGAACGCTTCTTCCTTTCTCTCTTTTTCTTATTTCTTGAGTCTCGGAATAAAACACCTTTCTCATTTACCTGAATTAAAGTCGACCCAATCTCTTGCCGAAGTCTCGGATTGTAGATCTTATCGGAAAGCGTTCGGCATTTTGGCTGGAATTCGATCCTGGCGAGAAAGCGCGGTTCTGAAATCCGAATGGAGGATCAATGTCTGAGGAGGAATGTTCCGAATAAGGCTTCCGGAAATCTTATCGGAGTTGGGTCACTCCCGGAAGCAAACGGCCGATCTTCGATATCGATCGGCAGCAGTGAACTCTCACGCGCGGACTGATCCGTGAATATCTATGTAGAAGTCGGTTTTCGGTCGGCAATAGAATCGTCAATCGATTGCAGGGCCATATTCTCCGATCACCAAGTCAGGTCGGGAAGTAACCCAATGTTCACTTACTGATGCACACATCCGCTGCTCCATAGAGGTAGCTCGAGGTCCCCTGGAAAGAAGCGACACTGCGCACCCACGTCGGCCTACGTCGACGTGACGACCGGAATTTCAACGTAGACGCGACTCTGCGTGTCATGAGAATGTGCGGGACGAGCTCGGTTGCAGAGCATGATGCAGACTGAAAATCTTTTTGCGGACCATGATTTCGAGACAGATGCCTTCGCAAGGTCTTGACTCCGTCCTCGGTAGATTCCTCAAAACGCCGACCCACAAATGGAACCCGCGGTGATCTGTAGAGCATTGTTCGCCCTCGTGAACGCAACGTCATGGTCGTTCGTATACTTCGAGGACAGGTGGCACGACGATATCAAACGCAGTTCCTCTCGTCTGACCGAATTCATCAAAGCCCCCGAATGCGGGAAACAAACGTCAATAGTCTACAGCCGCATCGACGATCTTCGGGACTTCGCCGTGCAGTCTATGATGAAACGGCACTGGATTCTGGTGATCGTTCTGCACATGACCGCTAGTCAGACCCTGAAATTCCAAAGTTACGCGAGCGACCTACCCCTATCCCGTTGGCTGTTCATCGAGGAATCCTACCACGATCTCTCGTCTGAGTCTGAGGATTCTTTCGCGAAGTGCATCAGTTCCATCGCTACTCCTCAAGGATTCAGCTTGCCAATCGACTGGAGGAGCTGCACTCACGAAGTCGTCGCCAACGTGGAGCCGGAGTCCATCAGGTTTCGACCGAGCGAAATCGTCAGCGCTTGTGACGATCTCTGCGTGGAGTTTGAAGGTATCGACCACCTCACACTCCTCCCGAGAGGTCTCAATCTGAGTGTTTCGGACACTCGATACATCCACGGTCAGGTGAAAACGAGTGGAGCTCTGATGAACCAGGAGATTTTCGAAATGCAGCGAACTCGAGTGGCAGACATCAGTCTTCGTTTCATCGTCATGAGCTACAGCCGTCTTTCCAAAATTGACTTCTTCAACGCCGTATACTGGGCATACGTATCGTTCTACACCTGTCGACAAGCTGATGCACGCGCCGGTTTCGCCGGTCTGATCAGCGTTTTTTCTGGGAAGGCATGGCTCCTGCTTGGAACCCTCTTCCTCGCCTGCATCGCATTGGGAACTTTATTCTTTGCTTTCGCAGACATACTCGACGTGTGCGTGAGAATGTTCCTCCAGCAACCCTGCGACAAACCGTTCTTGAACCTAATGATCGCCCATTTGTTCATAATTCTCGGCACATTTGTTATGTCATCCGTCTTCCGCCAGGCGTTGCTCTCCTACCTCAATGTACCCGTTTCGTCAAGTCTGCAAACTATAAAGGATTTCGAAGACGCCCTCGAAAGTGGGGGCAGGTACAAAGTTTGTATCCGAGACAATGACTACACCACCGAGCTGCTGAATTCTGGCGCTTTGAGCGCCTATCGGAAAATCCGCAAGCTCCAGGCCGAGAACCGAATCATCAAACGTCAGACCGAATTCGCCTGTCAAATCGAAACGTGGCGAGAGTCTGTGGTCAGCGTGTTTTTGGATTGCAAAAAGTGCAAACTCGATCCGTTTATTTCCCCGGGAAAAGAGCGTCTGGAATATCTGATCAGCTCATTCACGGTGGCTCCCGATTACCCGTGGAAGCGACGCCTGGACCTCATCATCAGGAGACTATTCGAGGCCGATTGGTTCGGAGATCACGCAACTCGGAACGCGCTGAAAGCACAAGCAGGAGAGAAGGAAGCTGTATATGGCGAGGATATTCTCGAACTGAACGATGTCTGGCCGATAATGCTAATACTGATCGGCGGCTATCTCCTCGCAGCCGCCGTCGAAGTCTTCAATCTAATTCAAAATCGGGTCAGTCCCCGGGAAGCAGTTCCTCCAAGACCCCAGAGCTGCTCCGCGACTCAATTCCACAGACCTCATCACTCCGATTTTTACTACCACCGATTCACGACTCGTCATAGCCCGATCTTCGGCGAGCATCGCAGGCGAAGGAATTTCAATCTGACTGTGGGTCGAAGGTACAAATTATTATCTTGGAGATCGCCTCGCATCAACCCAGTAATCCCAGACAAAGACGGAGATGCCGTCCACCTTGAGTAGTTCCTCATCTTGTCGCGACCCGGCCCAGGGAAAGCAATAAATTGAACTTTCCCGAATGCCGTTCGATATCAATTCTGCGGGTCTGATTCCTAGGCAGTGACAGCCAGTTTCCGTGGTGTAGTGGTTATCACGTGCGCCTCACACGCGCAAGGTCCCCGGTTCGATCCCGGGCGGAAACAATATTTTCCTTCCCCCCCTCCCCGATCTGAAAAGGCCCCCACCAACGTCCTGTCGGGTTTCTGAAATCTCGCTTAGCGACTTTCGAGACGATGAGAGCGTACGTGCATCGCAGTCTCGGCTGGTGACCCTTTTGAGAGAGAGGTAAGCCTCGAGGGTAAGGGCTCACTGTTTACCCCGACGGCTTCGCAGAGGACAACGTGATATACTCGAAGAGTGAACGGACGCCCGACTCAGGACATTCTTAAAGGTATTTCAGTGGATGACAGAGAAGGATTGTCTCAAGAGACATAGCAATGTCATTGAATGGTCCATCGACATGCGGCTTTCTAATCCCGATCGGGACTCCGGAGACCATCGGATAGTGCCTTCCATTCATTAAGAATTTGAAGTCTCCTCTCTGCGTTTCGAGAGTACTGGTGTACAGCGAATATCGGAGGGTCGGAGCTCGAAACTGCCGAACGGCAAGCTTGGGCGAGAAGGGAATCTCCGATGGGACTGTCGAGTGGGAGTGCCAGAGTGATGCTCTCGACTCTCGACCAAATCGATGCAGTGGACAATCCTGCCCGGTGCGCTCAGGCGCCCATTCCTTTAGATCTACTCGAAAAGCTCGATTCCCTCTCTCTTTGTCGAAAGATATCATCTGTTGTTGTCAACAGACACTTGAGCAGCATCTGATTGTCAGTGAAGGGACTGCAACGCCTCCTCGACAATATTATGACTTTCACGCGCGGTGGCGGATTCTTCGCGCGAGAGGCAGGTCAGAGATCGCACTCCCTTCATGGAATTCATTTTTATTGGCCCTGAGCGGACAATCACTGAGGGATGGCAAGAAGACTGTCATGCATACAGGTAGTCAATGAATCAAAGCGTTTTTCATCGTTCGGAGGAGTTTCGAATGGTAGTGGTCGGGTCCCCAGATCACCTGGCTCCGCTGTTCCGCCAAGACCAGCAAGGCGGTGAACTCGAAGTTGTGTTCATTCTGAGGTTTGTACCAATCAGCATTGAGAGCCGCACTGAAGACTTGGCAAAGAAGGTACAGTGTGTGAACCGGAGCGACCCTCATTTTATCGTAAACTTCGAGGATCCGGTATCCAACCAGGGCCGCTTCTTCGTACCGTGCCAGTGTGCCACAGAGTGCGAAGAGCCCGGCGTTGAGACTCAGCTGCACGTAATCGTTCGGAGGTAGTTTTCGAACGCTATCCATTCTGGACATTTCTAGAAGCCCCGAATATTTCGTTTCGCAGTCCGCCGTATTCCGGAGAGACTCGACCTGCGACGCCAGCCCTGAACCACCGAGATTCGTTACGACTTCTTCTCCCACGCACCGTTGGCAGCAGCAGTCGAAGAAGTAACGCTCCCTCAATTGTTCCCGACGAGCATCTCGGGGCAGGATGAAGGACACGTATCCGATATTAAGCTCATGCGGACCTTTTATCTCGACGTTCTCCAAAGCTTTCATGACGAAATCGCGACCGTGGAAAAAATACGTGATCTTAGGGTTGGGGGAGCACGAATGATCTACGATTGACCCGCCGAGATACAGAGCGCACCCCATCGGTCCATCCCATGAAGTGACTTGATGTGTGTTGATATCCATTTTGAGGAATATCGTCACGAGCATTTCGAGCGACGGCCGATCCATTCGAAGAAGGAATCGATTCACCTGATTGGGAAAAGCATCGGAATAATTTCACTCCCGAAACGGTCCGTCATCGACGAGAAGACTGAGATTTATTTGAGAAATTCGAAGTGCTCGCATAAGATATCTCGACCCCGAAAATTTACACCAACCTGTAGGCCTATCTCTTTCTCGATCCGTTCGATGTATTCGGAATCTCTCTCGTCGCGATGCGTCATTAGGGAGTCGAAGCTCCTCACCGTCCCGAGTACCGATTCCTCGGAGGGACTAGCTCGCTCCCGTCGCACTCGGAACCAAATTCGGCATAGGAGGCGAGTCTCCGCATCCGGAACCCACGGATGCGAGCGGGATAGGGCCTCGCATTCGAATTTGTGGTCGTCCGAATCACTCTCCTTCAGAATGCAATGAGGAATTATGAGGGAAAATGATAATATTGCAAATTCCAGAACTCGTTAAAATTCCCATCGAGCCCGTCGGGACATCGAGTTATGAACGAGTCAGCATCATGTATGGATGTCTTTGACGAGAATTTCAATCAGGATCCAAAATTTTTTTGTGGAGGGAGAGAAAGGATTCCCCCCGGAATCGTCACCTGACACTGATCGCTGCAGTAGAAGACCGTGGAGCAAGCGCTGCATTTCTTGAGCTGTGGTTTGCACGTCAAACAATACGAGCAAGCTTTGCTCAGGAACTCCGTCTCCAGAGCCGCTCCATAGGGAGCGCTTCTCAAAATTATGTCACCAGCACAGAACTGCATCTATGTCGGTCACTGTATCGTCGAGCGCAGCCGACTCCAATCTGCGGCTGGCACATCTTCCGCCACCAGACTCATGGTGTCTGGAGGAAGGCATGCATATGCCCTCACAAGCGGTAATTTAGACAAGGTCAAGTGTCTTAGCGGGGCGTCGCGACGCCTCTGTCATCCATCTGCGATATTTGAGGCAATGCGGCCCAAGGGTCTCGCGAAGAATTAGCTCGAGACTCATTGTTGGCGATCAAGGCCCTCGGAGTGACTAAGCCGCGTCGTAATCACCATTATGCGCACGCCATGTACGCTTTCGGGCCCTCGGTTCCTTAGCTATTCTCATCGAATTCATCACTGCCAGAGCGAATTTTTTCTCATCGGTAGAAGAAGCGTCTGACGAAGACATCGACTCGATGCGGCTCGAACTTGATGTCGACCCCGAGCCCGTTGCCTGAGGGAGAATCTATCAGGACGGAAAAGTTTCATTTCGCCGCGAAGCTACGGAGAGATGTCCTTCCAGGCATTAAATCTACTCAAATCTCCGGGATGTCAGACATCGAGCTTTCGGTGTTCCAGCTAGAAGCCAATCGCTCATATGAATCCGAAATCTATAAAGTTGCAAAAGGTGAGTTCTATCGCCGGGGAAATCGAACCCCCCAAGCAGTGGACTTTCGCTCACTGGAACCATTGAGCAGTCAATTCACGGGCCTCCTCATAGAAGAATGTGTTCTCGCCCGGCAGGCTCCACCGTGAGGTTCACCCTAGGGCCCTCTCTCTTCGGCCACGAAGTTTCCCTGTTCACCAATAATCCGCTGCAGAAAAGCGCTGCCTTCGAACGGAAGTCGTATCGGAAGCTGGAATGGAACTTCCATTTCGCGGAGTTCGCCGACGAGGGCAATGCCTTTGCTGATTGCACATACCCCTCTGCGGGCACTTTTAAATTCTATATCACGCTGGATGACAGGTTAGGACTCCTCTCAGACCGGAATCTCTTGCTCCTTTGGAGTTGTCCATGTTCGAAGGATCGCCTGAGGTTGTTGGTCAAAATACGTACGAATTCCTGTATGTTTGCAGCAAAGAAGAATCTTCGTCTGGATTCATTCTAGTGGAGCCTCAGCTCACATTGCAAGGGAATCCGCTGCCCTTGGACGGCATTCAGTGTCAAACCGTTCTCTCGAAATGCTTGGGACCCTTTCCGGATTGGGAGGGGATAATCGCTGTTTCGGCCGCGGCTGGCTACAATGTTGTCCACTTCACGCCGGTTCAAGCTCTGGGTGGATCGAACTCAGCCTATTCACTCAAGGATCACATGGCTCTCAACGAGACGTTCAAGACGCCGAATAAGAATCCGACCTTCAAAGACGTGCAAGAGTTCATCTGCGAGATGGAGAAGAAGCATAAGGTAGGAAATGCCGGGCATTATTGGAAGGATCAATTAATTCAGGATACTCGTGCTCGCTCTTGATCGGGAGAACTCCTCATCCGGAGAAATATTTGAATGGAAGATGCCCTATTTGAGCTCTGTGGATGAGTTGATGTCAATGCCGGTTAAGGATTATCCAAAGGGTTCTCTCATCCTCCTCGGGACGTCATCCTTCGATCTTTCGGAAAGCGAAGCTAGGACGAGACTCGTGCGGGAAGAGTCGATTACAAATGATCAGCATCTTACAGCTGCACTGACAGATTTGGTTTCTATAGCTCCTCTCATTGACTGACATTGTGCTCAATCACACGGCGAACGAGACACCATGGCTTCGAGAACACCCAGAATGCTCGTTCAACGCCCTCAACTCACCTCATTTAAGAACGGCCATGTTGCTAGATCAAGAGATCTATCTTCTATCCATGCGCGCCATGAGAGGAGAGACATTGTCTATCGGTCTTCCTCCACAAATCACGGATGAGGCGCACGTTCAGGTGAGCAGAGTTCGCGGGTCTTCCGATCCCTTTTCCTCGACTCCTCGAATGCCCGGTTCGCCGGTCGAGCTCTGAAGTTCCGCGAGAATCATCGCCAAGAATGCTTTCAGGCGGTCAGGCTTCAAATCAGAGATGAGATACTGCCGAGGCTCAAGCTTCACGAATTTTACCTCGCAGACATAAACGATCTCGTGACGAAATTTGAAGGTATGTTGCGTATGATATTCGTACATACTATGAACGTCCAAGCCATGGAGCCGCTGCTCATTCGGATTTTATCGCAGCAAGCGCTGAACCCGTAGCGACATCGAGCTCGCACAACTTGACGATGACGCAAACCTACACAAGATTCGGAGCAAAATGCAACATCGCGGAAGCTCGGAGGGCTTTCGTTGACTCTACCGATTTCCGGAGGTTCCTCGAGGACTTCAACTCGCAGAAAGTTCGTGAGACTGAGGAACACCTGAAGCACGCCGTTGAAAATATCCTCAAAGGACTACGTTATCACAAAGTGGACTCCAGGGGTCCCAAGGAACACAAAATTACGAGGATCGCGCCTATCGTTGTAAGGCGAGTATTACGCTGGAGCGATGGGCCGAGCCACAGGGGTCTCGGAGACTTCGCGGCCATGCTCGGGAGAGTGATTATAATGAGGAAGCAATATTACATTCCGACAGATATTTCCTGCCGAATCACGACTCAGTTTTGGATGAAATGAGCTCCACGGAAATGGAAGCTTGTTTCAGCAACGAAAAAGGCGCTTTCATCATGGCGCACAACGGTTGGGTCATGGGCGACGATCCCCTCCGAAACTTCGCTCTGGAAGGTGCGCCTCGCTGACGTATCCTCGAATCTCGCGCTATTGTGGAGGTTTTCCAAGCGAGTTCCCTGAAGGAGAATGCATGCCGGAACGAGTTGGAGGCCCTTAGTATTGAGAATCGTCCGACTTTTTCCCAGGTTCCATGGTCTACCTCCGACGCGAACTCATCGCGTGGGGCGACAGCTGCAAACTCAGATACGGGGAGAGCCCGGCAGACTGCCCGTTCCTCTGGGACTACATGAAAACTTACGTGAAGAGCAGCGCCGAGATATTTCACGGTCTCCGATTGGATAATTGTCACAGCACACCGATCCATGTCGCTGAGGTTGGACGGTTCTGAATCCTCGCAATTTGAGTACTATACATAGTATAGTGCGATGAGAAAAATCACCTGGAAGGGAATCCATGTTCAGATATAAAACGGAATGATGCATTTTCTAGTACCTCCTCGATGCCGCGCGATCGGTCCGTAATGATCTCTACGTGATAGCGGAACTATTCACGTCCTCTGAAGCCGTAGACAACATATTCGTGAACCGTTTGGGTATCAATTCTTTGATACGGGAAGCTCTGCAAGCCGGCGATTCACACGAGTTGGGACGGCTCGTCCACAGATATGGGGGGATCCCCGTCGGGAGTTTCTTTCATTCAAAAGGTAGATGTCAACAGCTCCTGGATAGATGTAATATGAGGTGACCCCTCCCCGGGGGAGTCGCCGAAATTCTCTCTGTGAGGGATCCCGCTCTGTCATCCCGATTCGCAGAGCGGACCAATCCTCTGGATAAGTATTCTCGGAGACTGATTCTGCGTCTGGCTCGCTAGGTGTGGCTCCTCTCATGCCAGCTGTGGCTCATGCCATCTTCGTTGACATGACTCACGATAATCCTTCCCCGTACGAAACGCGGAGCGTTTACGATTTCCTCCCGAGCGCTGCTTTGGTCTCAATGGCATCGTGTGCAACGGGGAGCAGTCGTGGATACGACGAGCTTGTTCCCCACCACATACACGTCGTTAACGAAAATCGCCGCTTCCAAAATCTCGACGAAGTGGCAGATCAAGGAATTATGCAGGCGAAAAAAATCCTCAACGACTTGCATCATCAACTGGGTCTCGAAAACTTCAGAGAAGTCTATGTCGATCAGCTCGATTTCGATACCGTGTCAGTGACGAGACGATGTCCCCTCACCGACGAGTCGGTCATCTTGGTCTCGCGCACATCTTTCCAAAAACCCGAAGATCCGAAGAAGAAAACTTCTCTGAGACCTCTCCAAGTTGCGGGTGAGTCTTGGGCTCCCCACAATCTTAGAGGAGCCGGTGCACGAGAGGGAAAATTTTCGCTCAGATCGCACACGTTCATGTCTTAATCATCTTCTCAGGTAAAATTAAGAGGGTCATCATTGAGGCCAGACTACAGGAAGATCAGAGTGCCAAAGGAATATTTGAGCGGAAAAAAACTGTGATCAACGGACTCGAGGGTTTCAAGTTGATGGTCAAATCAGATATCCCCCTGTCCGAATGTACGATGGTCCGAGTGGAAGAATTCGACAATGGAGAAAGATGCGAAATCAATTTTACCGATCTAACGCCCGGCTCCGTTGTTGCTTTTAGGTGAGTATTCCACGAGCCACGAGTCATCGTTAATGTCGACTTCGTCACCCTGTCCCCAACTCTGAGCCAATGCGGCGACGCTCATTGCAAAACTCTCGCTTCGATTTCAGGGTGGAAGTCGGTCCGACAGCGAAGTCTTGTATGGAGGACGCAAGGACTCTCCTGAGGCCCTTCGGATACTTCAAGGGTGCTGTCCAAGTTCCGCAGTCCGTGCGAGCCGTCATCAGCAAACTCGACATGGACGACCTCAACCGAATTCTCTTCCGTGGCGACCTGGAGGAGAAGTCCGATGGTCTCGGCATGGGAGCTTACAACCTCGACGCGGTCGGTCCGATGATCTATTGTGGTCTACAAGGTTTGTTCGGAAACGGGAACAAGACTTGAGGGGACACATTGGTGGAACTTTCATCCTCATCTGCCTTTCTATCCTAAGGTGTGATGACTCATCTGTCGTACATAAGACCGCGAAACGACCTTGGCCACCCCCTTTGTTCGAATATCCGCGAAGGAGACTGGCTTATCGATCATATGGTGAACCGTCTCCGTCCCCACAAGTCGTGCAGCGAATTCGCTTCTCTGCTCGAGCAAATGCTCAGACCGATCAAAAAAGTGCCTCACTATCTGAAACCGTGCTACTTCGATGCCATGGTCACTGCGCTGTTCAATCAGCTCCTCGATGCGGTCTGGCAGAAAATGTCAAAGTAAGATAAATCGAATCAACGGGGAGGAGATCTCAGGGTATTCGGGCATTTCCTTGGCGCCCCGTCCTCTCCATAATATCGAATATCGAGCCTTCTATTCTTCTTTTGAATTTCAGATTCGTCTCGTGCGGATCGAACTTCGTGCGTCAGATATCTTTGGCTTCGGTGATCTTGACGGGCTTCGTCTATGACTCGCCGCTACCCCCTCTCAGCACTAAACTCAGTCCGTCCGCACCTATGAAACACGACGTCCATTCTTCCCTGATCTGCCAGCAATGTCCGACCCTCGCGGCGGGTCTTCCACATTTTTCAACCGGTTACATGCGGAACTGGGGTCGGGACACCTTTATTTCCCTCCGAGGTCTGCTCCTCTTGACCGGTAGATTTTCGGAAGCGCGGTGAGTGCCTCACGGTGGATGCCATGAGTTTTCAGTAAAGAACTCGAGCTGTACAACGCTCAATCTGTGGATGAAGCTGAAGTCGTAGAATCTCAGACTAATTCTCGAGATGCGCCCTGTCTGAGCTCAGCGATTTCGTTTCCGAAGGTGTATCATCCTTGGTTTCGCTGGAACCTTACGACATGGATTGATTCCGAATCTCTTGGATCGAGGCACAAACAGTCGCTACAATTGTCGCGATGCCGTGTGGTTTTGGTTGGAATGCATCAAGCAATATGCAGATATTGTGCCACAAGGAGAATCGATTTTGAAGGATCCCGTCTCGAGACTCTATCCACAGGACGACAGCGACGCGCTTCCCGTCGACACGGTGGTGAGCGCCTGCGACTCCAATCGAGCGATCGGATGATTTTTCTCGTCGGAGCAAGCCGACATTTTTTCTCACGATGAATTCTCTCCAGATCATGCCTCTCCACGATGTCATGCAAGAAGCGCTTCAAAAACACTGGAGTGGGACCAGTTTCCGTGAAAGGAACGCGGGTACAAGAATCGACGCGCAGATGAAGGACGCAGGCTTCAACGTCTGCTTCGGCGTCGACCATGAGACAGGTTTCGTATTCGGTGGGAACGAATTCAATTGCGGGACATGGATGGATAAAATGGGCAGCATTCCCGGAAAGAACCAGGGAATTCCTGCGTCGCCACGGGACGGTTCGGCCGTGGAACTCGTTGGGCTCAGCAAGTCTGTGATAAGTTGGCTGCACAAGAAGAATAAGGAAGGGACCTACCCGTACGCCTCAGTCGAGTTCGAAGGTAAAAGTCAGGAGCCTCCGTTCCCTCAAACCTCATCCTATCAATGATCGTCAGTTTCATGCCAGGTCGAGCGGTTTTGCAAAGACGTCAGTCTCTTCCAGGAGCCAAAACCACTTTCGCTGAGTGGTCCGATATGATCCAGGCGCATTTTGAGCCCTGTTTCTACGTGCCGGAAGAAGGCTCGGGACCTCTCGACGCGAGACCGGACCTGATTAATCAACGAGGAATATACAAAGACACTTTCCGGTCACAGCAACCTTGGGCTGATTATCAATTTCGCCCTAACTTCACCGTCGCCATGGTTGTGGTAGGTGTAGGGACACGATCCCGCGAAAAAGGCAGATCCGGGTCGAGGATGAGACTCTCAAGCCTCATTCGAATCTCTCCCGCGGCAGGCACCGGAACTCTTCAATCCGGAGCATGCAAGAAAAGCTCTGACGGAGGCGAAGCAGGTTCTTAAGGGGCCGCTTGGTATGCGCACACTGGATCCGAGTGACATGACATACAATGGAAACTACGACAACAGTGACGGGGACGGCGGGTTCAACTACCACAGAGGACCGGTAATAATGCCCGAGAGCCACGGAATGTTCATTCCGGGCATGATCGAATGATTTCGTTATCGACGCTACGCGTTTATGTTTCTTTTGATATCTTCAACCATTTCTTCCTCCCTAAGGAATGGTTGTGGCCGATGGGATACTTTCTCCGAGCCCAGCTCTGTTTCGCAAAAGATTCGCTCGCTGCGCGGAAAGATGTCCGTCGCTCACTGCAACCTCATCTCCAGGCTCTGCAGAGTTCCCCGTGGAGAGGGCTGCCAGAATTGACGAACCGCGACGGAGCCGTCTGTCATCATTCTTGTCCGATCCAGGCATGGAGTCACGCCTGCTTACTGGAGCTCTTGTATCAACTTCATGATTGAAGTCTGATCGTGTTGTTTCCAAAGGACAGCTCCCGGTATGCGGAGCTGATATAGAGTTTAGCCGTATATGTGTGTATATGAGCCTGCACGTTCAGCTCGCGAATCGTGCACTCGTTAATCCCGATCAGATGGGATGGTGGGAAGCACCTCTGATGAACCTGTGAGAAGCGGCAATGAAAATAAAATTCGTTCCCGGCGACATCCTTGTGCATAGAGAGGTCGGAATGCGCTTGCGGAGCCGGTCGACACTTATGGAGTATCGCCCGTGTTCCCGGAACGCTGAGACCTCGAGAAGAGTTCGGACGAATGTCTAAGCTCGACGTTCAATCACCGGCGATCGGGACGCAGGAGTCTACTTCGCGGAGGCACTAATGTGATAGAAATCCCCTGATCATTCCAGGGAACCCTCTTATATCCAAATAAACATGAGTGACGTAATCCGTCGACGAATGTTCCACGTCGCGAACGTAATGAGAAAGGCGAGGATAGAAAGTGAGACTTTATTTGGCTCACATTTCAGAAGGGCGCCTGTCCGTCTTGAATTCACGAACTAGGTCGGCAAATACGATTTACATCGGCATGTTGAGTCTCGACATTCGACGCGGCAACTACATCCACAGCAGTCCCCGTTTTTCTGAGTCCACTCTGTGAATCGGCGGAAAACGATCGGGAATTCGCACCCTCTCTCTGATCTCAGGAGTCCGCGGTGAATGGGGATAACAAAGGCGGCGTGAGGATTCACAGCCTCACGAAGCGCCGGCTTTAGATTTTTCCCATGTGAATTGGAATTCTCATGGAGTCAGTAGGCCGTGTTCTGAGTAGACGGATCCCTAATCTAGGCCCGGGGGGCACGGCTCATCGCCTGATGTGTCACGCACCATTTAGGATCCCCCATTCTCGCTACGGATCGTTAGGCCCGTAATCCATAACGATCGAAATGTCCATTGGGGCACCGATAAATTTCATGCTCCTCCGGCTGAAGCGTGAGGCTTCTGAAATTTGAAGTTATGGACAATGTCCGGCCGTACGACATGCGACTCGGCGGAGGATCGTACTCGAGCGACGAGCCCATTCGCGTATACTCAGTGGAGTATTCCCCGCTCATACTCCTACGGTCCTTCTGTTATCTCATTCGCTGGAAAATCGATGTTTGCCCCATAGCTTCTGCCGTAGGTCCAATTCCTCGTCGGAACATTTTATCTCGCCGAATGCGCGATAAGTCGTTCGCAACTTCTGGAAGAGAGCAGCTGAATTTGAGACGGCAGCCAACGGAGGATTCGCAAAGAGCCAGACGCTCGTTGCCATCGGCGTCGAGCTCGCTCTCGACATTCGATGGACGTGGATTTGCATGTTTCAACCCCAGCACCCCTTTAGCAGTCTTCAGTAACCCCTCTCGTGGCCTATGGTGGAAGCACGAGAGCCGTATTCTCGGTGAATTCGGCATTCGGCATGCTCCGGGGTTCTCCGGTGAGAAATCAGAACGAGTAGCTCCGTCTTCGGCGAAGCGATCCACGAAGGCTTGGAAGGTGGTCGATGTGTATTGTCAACGGTCGGCTCATAATATCCAAAGATGAACGATCAGAACCACTCCGATTTTAAAAAAGCGCGCCTCCTTCCCTCTCGTCCATCAGAACTCTCCCACGACCAACGAACGAGATGTTTATCCAAGTCTTGCGCTTCGCTGCTGGTGATCGTGTGACTTCAGCTGCTCGTCGTCGTGTATGTAGTGGACGGACAGCCGAGCGGCCGGAGCTGGCTGGCTGGCTCAGACTGACTGACAAATTGATTGGCGCAGGATTCCTGAGCTGCAAATCTTCTCTCCAGATTTCCGAGCCCCTCTCGGAAAAGTGAGAGCCTCCGTCCACGAGAGATGATCTGACAGATTCGATAATCGTCCCCATGAAGTATCAGGTGGGTGAAGAGAAGTCCCCTCGTTCGATTTCTCCCACTGAATGGCCTCCGGGGACCTTGAGGATTCGGAGAATCTAATTTAGGCACGGCCTGTTCTCTACCGCCGTATTGGAAGCCAGCATGAAAAACTAATGGGCGAATGATGGCGCTTCTCGAAAACGAGAAGATCGAGAGCCGACTCTCTGAGGAGCTGGAACAGTGGTCCATAACAAGCTGTCGAGGGCATTAGCCACGTTTATGCAAGGTCAGCCGCTGCTAATCGTGACTTGAGACTGTCAACACTCCCAAGCTGGTTGTTTCTCGAGCGCCGCGCCAAAGGCAGAAGTGCGATGCTGGGTCGCCGACAGGTTCTCGTTCTCCACAGCTGGTTTCGCTCCGAAAAATTCCTCTCGAACACACTGGTTCGGGCTCGACAATAATTATTATTCAGGCCGCAGTCTGGCTGAATAATTGGTCTAAGGAGAAGATCCCTTCGGAGTCTCTGCAACGAGGGAAAGTTTCAGTCGGCTCCTCGTCCTGAAGCGGCCTGTTTGAATCCGGGATGCGTTTTGACAGCGCGCGTCGTCAGACTCTAACGGCTCTCTAAAATTAGGTACTTCGATTAGGGCATTCTCTTGCTTCTCTTTAGCGATGTGCTCCTCAGAGCAAAGATGTCTGCGACTGTCATCAATTTCCTAGTTCACCAAGTTCGCAGCTGCCTCGTTCGAATAAGTTTAATTTTTGCGTCCATGTGAGCCCCGCCGCGCGAAGTGAGTAGAAACAGGAAACTATAGGGTCTCACGGGTGTCGTCTGCCTTCTTCTCCTCAGTAGAATCAAACGCCTTTGGTCGCTCTGGATTCGAGCTCTCTCTTTCGGGGATTATATTCTCGGTCAGTTCGGCCATGTGTCCGCAGAACGAATTATCGGAATCGCTCCGAATCACAAGTATCGCGGCCGCGCCTCCGTATCGATCTCTGTTCCGGTCAATGAATCAGCCGATTCCGGGCGAATATTTTATGGGACTACTCTCAAAAGACGGAAACAAACGTAGCAGGCGAGCCGAGGCCCATTCCGAAATATGGAGGAACACTTCCGTAACCTTGAGTTGGGATGTCCCACAAACCGCGGTCATTGCAGGCTCTGTGTGCCGAAGCCGCTCGTGGGTTTCACGCAATGAGTCGACGGCAGCCACATTGAGAAATTCTGCTTACACTCGCTCCGGATAACTTCTCCGTAGGCTACCCGAGGTCCCGCGGCGAGAATCGATTCTGAGAAATCTGTTGCGGCTGGGCTGTGTAATGGCGCGGCATGACTTTCGCTCCTTGGTTTTTGATACTCTGCCAGACCAAGAATTACTCGACAGCCGATCGATTGGTTCGATCGGGTGCGACCCGTTCCGGTATCCCGGAGACTGATCCTGAAGAGCAAGACGTCGCGTGCGTCAGAACATGAATTCACGGATGTAAGTCCAGCGGCCGCGGAATCGCGGTAATCGATCCCGAGAAGGTGGGCGAGTTAACTCGACATACAGCTACGCTTAGTGCCTCCGTAGAGAGAGGATTGCGTCTCTGACCTCCGAAGGTGAGGAATGGAGCTACGAATAGACTACTCTACGCGATGGGGTAGGATGTTTTAGTCATGATTTCCAGCGGAGAGCTTGCGGTACTCAAGATACGACATCAGATGATTTCCTCTGTTTGTGTCGCTTGCTAACCAACGCGCGGCCGCTCCGACCTACATAGATATACTTACGTCGGAAACTGTCGCATATCCACAAACCCGCATATACTCGCCAGATATTCGGGGATACCCGCGTCGAGTTCAGATTACGTTGAGACCCTGGCTCACGGGATGTTGGTCCGTGTCCTTGAATTTAGGCGGGAAATAAATGAAACCGTGTGTCCGCTTGAAAGCTCGCTCGACAGCTACGGTGGCACGTATTCTGGTCTCATGATCGTCGATTCAAGCGAGTATGTCCTCCTGAGGACTTCTCCAGCGGGTGGATATCTTGGCCGCGAATCCTGCGGACATTCATTGAGCAGAGTCGACGGGATCGGAAGACAAGGTCCGTTAAGTTTCTCGCCCCAGCCGTTGAACGACCTTGATACCAGTATCTCTGAATCTGCCGTGTGAAGAACTATGCGCACGATCGATTCCGAAGCTGTCCATCGGTTGGCCATTCAACAGCTCCCTCCACTCCCGAGTCGATATACGTCTCGAAACGAGTCGGAGTATTCTGATGTCTCCCGATCTGGTACCCTCGAGGTCGTTCGGACAGGCGATCGTTTTTCTCGTGTATGTAGCGGCAACAATCTCCATGTTTCGATCGTTTCGCAGCCACAATCAAGTCGGAAATCGACCGGTCTGATGGATCTTCGCGGTAGTCAGACCACTATATTCCCGAAAATAGCTCCCCTTGTCAGATGTGTCAATGTTTGCGGCGTTCGGCCTGTTCTAAACTCGATCGCACACGTTTGTGAGACACATTGATGTGTAAAGAGACGGATCGTATCTCGCGTCTGGACTAGGACCGAGGACCAACAAAACATGTTCCGAAAGATGGAGCCTGCATCTTCCACAAAATCAACTTCGACCGTCCTGTCGCAGCGAAAACTTAATCGATGGCTACATGCTCCCATTGTGTCTTCCGAGGCCTACCCTCAATGCTGCTACGACGATCCAAAGCGTTGAACGCGACTCTCTGTCAATGTGACCCATCAATGAAGAATGAGATATGTTTCAATACCAGATCGATTTAGATAACTGAGTGAGATGCACGAGTTCCGTGAGGCTTCTGTCCGGATTCCTGAGTTCCCAATGAATTGCGAAGTGATTCACGAGAGGAACGATTTCATTCAGCAGTCCCTCTTTCCGTTCTTTCACAGAAGCTTCCTTCGAGAGATGACTTGGAAATTCAGATTCCCTCGAATGTTCGACCGGCGGTATCGTCCGTTCACGTCTCAGCTTATTCAACTCGGGCTTCGGTGAAATTCGGGTTGTTCTGCTTCGTTTTCATCTCGTTATATTGTCTCATATACAGGTAAAGAAATCTTGCATGATTTTCCATCTTCCATTAATGGGCTTCCCAAGATTTATGGATATCCGGGCAAGATTGGGAATCCGTAGGGCAAAGGGGAGTGATAGTGCATCAATACAAAGATGCGAATTCTCGATTCCAGCCCATTGTCCGCATGGACAACGGAACCAGGCATTGCGCCCAACTTGACGTGGGTTCTCCGGCAACGCGAGTCCTTCCTGTACATACTCCAACCCCAGAATTTCACGGCGATCCTGGCTCCAACGGAAAGCCGCTGTGATCCCCAACGACTCGTGACAATCGTCGTGTGCTCAGCTGCAGGGAATGATGTCGCCAGGCGGGCGATCCGCGAATCTTGGGCAACAGAATATCCTGATGATAGTCGCGTGTTCTTCCTGGTGGGGAAAGGTGCGCCCAACGACACCAAGCTCCAGGAGAAGCTAGAGGTCAGTCTGCAAGTTCTCGGCGGCATCCCCGATTCCGAGTGAATTCCCAACGCGAAAATTCAATACGTCATTTTGTGACTATGATGTGATTCTTACGGATGATGTTTTGTACCAGATGGAGGCGGAGCACTATGACGACTTGATTCAGGAAGACTTCTTCGACTCGTACAACAATCTGACGCTGAAGTCAGCTTTCTTGCTGAAGTGGGCGAATTATTCAGGTTGCGCCGCTTCGTCGCGGTATATTTTGAAAACCGACGACGATATGTACATAAATGTTCAGAATCTTGTCAATGTGTTGCGAGTCAAAGGGAAGAGCAGAATGCTCCTGGGTAGTCTCATAACGAAGGCGAAGCCCGTGCGAGACTTCAAATCGAAATGGTAAGTGTCTCTCAGCAGTGGAACAGCCTCAGCTTGAGATGCGCTCTGGCTGGAAAATGGGGACGTTCTAAAGAGAAATCTCGTTCCTTCACAGGTACGTTCCATCGTATGTCTTCTCGGAAAAGATGTACCCAGATTATCTGTCGGGTACGGGTTACGTCATGTCGACAGACATCGTCTCGGATCTCTTGAGGATGACTGAGAGTACACCCTTCTTCCACATGGAGGACATATATGTCACTGGTTGGTTGACTTCAACATACTAGCCGAGATACCTCCAACTCCATTCATATTTCCCAAATAGCTCCTTGTCGCCTCTGTTGGACTATTCTCCTGAACAGCTCTTTCCTTCCATCCACCAGGACTATTGGCGCGTCGCCTCGGGGTTCGAAGACTCAATCATGAAGGCTTCAAATACTTCAAACGAAAAAACAACGTATGTGTCTTCCGGAGGCTCATCTCCGCTCACATGATGGCGCCCTGGGAGCTTCGTAAGATGTTCGCAGACGTTCATGACAAAACGAAGTCCTGCAGGTAGTGCTGAAATGTCCTAGATATGGGAGTCCGGCCTGGTACGTAGCGGAATTGCAGAAGGGCGAGTGACGTCTTGATGATCGGGCCCACGAAGTAACTCTCCGAATCCACGGGCTTATACCGTCAGACAGGAGCCCGAAGCCAAAGAATTTCGGAATTTCGTCGTCGTAGAAGCTCTTTGTGCATTTGAAGTGATGTTGCGCGAGAGAGTATCGCTTGAACAATGTTGCATGATTCTCGAAGCAATGCTACGAACTTGAGAAGGAAGAAGAGACTACATGAAAGATTCCCCCACCGCGAAACACCGAATGCCTAGATATCACTCGGGGCGTCGATTCTTTAGTACGATACTTGCCCCTTTGCAATTCCGGTCGAATCAATGATGTGATCTTGCCGATGAAGCTGAGTTTGCTTGTTATTATCCGATGATGATCTGCTGCTCGTCCTTTTTTTAGGCTGGAGAACGCGTTTCTCGGGATGCAGGACACTCTTTTATGCTGGATAAGAAACTGTGGTCTCTAGGGTTTTCTATGCTTGCACGAATCGAAATCAATTCTTCTTCTCACTTGACTCTCGCGCCTTAAAAGTCAGTCATCGACTTTCACGTGACCAATTGACTAACCAGGAAAGCACAAATGCACACAAAGCAGACTACGACTGCATGCTGTCAACAGTCATTCATCAAGTTTTAGCGTTACGATCATCTTGCAAAGTGTACTCGATGCTATGAAGTTCCTCGCAATGTCCCGTCTGGGCTAGACTTCGAATTCTCTATATGAGGCCGTGATAGTGAGGTTCTCCTCGGAAACTTCTACTGAGAGGGAAGAACACGCGTCGTCATCCCGTCCTGCCTCTGGGACACGATCAAGTTCTGCTCGATCGTCCTGCGACTCATCACGTGGGACTCGCACTCTCCCATGAACATGTTCCTCTACACAGATGTCGGGTTGGAGTTCCTAAAGGCCTAGCTCTGTCACAAGTCATGCACATGTTTTGCCAAACTGGGCACATAACTCGATGGATAGTGTATATTGAGCGACCGCAACCTAGAATTCCGAAATGATTCAGCTCCCCGGAGACTGAGAGTGACAACCGGAGGCTGCGCAGCAGGCATTCACCTAGCCTGGTGTCTGCATTCCGGGAGTTTCCTGCGCCATTGAATCATTGAGGCTGTCGATACCGAATGTAAATAAAGGCGAAGTTCGAGATATGAATTTCGGGAGCTGTCTTTCGGGGGAAGGGCCACCTTTCTCGCCCCTTCAGAGAGGGATTCCCAAGAACTGGCCGGCCCGGCGGGATCGAACTGGATGCGATGCTGAGCCAGCCCGAGAAGGAGTCAAGCAGAGACGAAGCTCGACCGAGATGTGATTCCGTAATCGAGGAGTCCGGCTTGTCTTGGCGACGGGTCGTCAACCACCTCCTCGTTTTTTGATCACTTGTACAAGGATTATGAATTAGGGGAGCTCGACGCATGACCGAAGGAGGCGATTATCTTTCTCCGACGAAATCATTGAAGAGGCGCGATGCGAGTTCGATGGACAGCGATTCTATTCAAATTACAACGATCCTGAACTTATGCGAGTACGATCAATCCGGCGAGCTACCTGCGCTGGGTTAGCTGGGCAGGAAGAGACCTCGAGAGCGATCCTACTGACCAAAATGATTCGACCGGTAAGAATGACCGTAAACGTGTGGTTGACCAGGTGATGGAAAAGACGGTCCTCCCCAGTCGGAAGTAGTTTCCCCGGAGATGATGACGCATTGCTGAGCTGGATGAGCTGCTGTCAGCTCGGGGTTCTCGAGTACCTCGGGAGCTCCGTACAAACTGAGAAGGGCAAGTTCGATTTGAGTGAATCATTCCTTTATCAAGTGAGCTTGTGTTCTATCGGATTCGTGGAATCCCCGGGAGTTCCTCGGGGAATGGATCGGTACCTGCTGGCAGCCGTAGCTGTGGTTGTTATGATATTTGTCGTTTGTTGAATCACCGACGTGACTCCCGTGTAGCAATTCGTTTCGTAGAAAATCGCAACTGGGGGAGAGGTTTGCGGCACTATTTCTGCCGAATCGTCAGAGCGTCGAAGTTTCGTTTTTTCTGCAATGATCAAAATAAAGAGAAGATGGCTTGACTCCGACTTGTGGAGGAACGGGAGCCAGCATTTCAAACAGGCTCGAAGCCCAAGATTGTGTCCGTCTTGTACCTTGAAGTTGTTGAGTCACCGTCGTACACAACTGGACAGGTTTCGGCTCCGACGATGCTCCGCTTGGATGAGATGAGTGAGTTTTGGGCATCAGACTCTCAGTGAGGAGGGGGCATCCATAATCGACGAGATTAATCAAAGAGATATCGAGTGAGCAATTTTGCTGGATATTACTATGCAGGTCTCGCACAAGACATTCCTCCAGAACAGTCGAAACGCTGATCCGAATGTAGTCGTCGCACAAAATACGTAAGAGTTGGAAAGACGCTGTAATTCAAATCTTCAAGTGAGCTCCGTAATAAAGTCGCGTTAGGTCTCTCCACTGACACCTTGCTTCGATTTGCGATCATCAGCGACTTACGGAAATGAGGGGTCTCCTGAATTTCTCGAAAAATTCTCTGGGAACATTCGGTCCACGCTCGCAAGAAACTGCAGCTGATATCACGCACCATTTGGGATGTTGCGGGAGGACGACTGCCAGGGAAGTTCTTTGTCCGCTTCGCATGACTCCGATTTCCCTATAGCCGGAGAAATCAAAGACAAGGTCAGGGGGAGAGCTGAACGAATCGAAACTTGAAGTATGATCGCATGGATCAGCTCCTCAAGAAGCATCAAGGAAATGGAAATGGAGGTTGCTCACCCCGCTGGTAAACTTTTCCACGACGGAGTCCATCCACAGGAGCAACGTCTCCAGACTGTTCGATGTCTCCAAGCAGGACTCCAATTCCGACAGGACTGGGGGGAGTCAGGAATAGGGGGATGATGCCATTCTATCCCGTTACTGTCCCGCAACAAATGTACAAGACATCGCTCAAAACTCACCGGATAGAACGACGTCCTGATGGCAGAAGGTCCTCTCTTTTTGGAGGATCAGCAGTCCCCGTCCTGCTGACATTCTCAGGGCTCTCCAATCGCTTAACACTTGCGTGATCAACTGTCTATTCGCTAACAATATCTTCGATGCTTGAGACAACTGATTCACCTCAACCCTACGTCTCAGTTGGCCCATGAAATGCTTCCCAACTGCGGAATGACCAAATGGAGGAATGAGAGGAAGAAGCGAGAGTTTTGACGATTTGCCTCGAAACCGATACCAATGGTACCAAGTATTCTGTGTTAGGACATTCTGAAGCAGATTCCGCTCACATTCCATTTTGACCTGCTGCAAGGCTTTAGGGAACCCTCCCAGAGCTCTGTCCAGCCAGCTTTCGTAGTCTTGAGTGAAGTATTCGATCATCCGCACGAAGCTGGAACGGGAGAGGTTGTCGGAGAGTCAATTCGGATAGCTGCCAGGGATATGGACAGAGAAACTTCCCGGTAGTCACGGGAAATTCCTACAAACCTTTCGGGCAGGGGTTGAGTCAAAGACGGGACTAATAAGTTGCAAACAGTCTTATACAGCGTGGAATCACAGAGAGCGACCAAATTCACTAAGACCGGGGATCCCAGTCCCGAGGCAAGATGTTGCGGAATGCCGAACCAAAAATGCTGAAGATTGACTCGGACCTGAAAAACAGAACACGGGAGGTTTTCGGTGGGACGATTCTATTCATGTGCTCACGTTTTTCGTCACCTCATGGTTGGCTCGAATGCGACTCCTCGCTGAGCAAAGAATATTAGGTTCTGAGACTTCAGAGGAATCACTCGCCTGTTCTAGACTCATGGATAGAATCGTGTCCAGAACCCTCTGACAGTGAGCTCGATACATAGTCAAGAAGCTCGCCACCTTGGGATTCCAAAAGTTTCACTCCGTTATGCGTGTGAGATCGAAATATCAGAAAGTAGGAGAGAAAACAATGAGCGGGAACTCACCTGTTCGCGGTCGACCGAAGGGCTCACGCTCAGTGTTCGGAGTGAGGGGAAGTTCGGCAAAACAGCGCTTAATTTTACCCGTTGAGAAACATTGGCCACTGCCGATGCATTCTTAGCGAGGAGCAAAAAATTGCGAGTTTGAGTTTCGGCAGTTTCCCGTTTATTTGTGCGATACGTAGCGGGGGAGTGCTAGTGAAGTTCATCGAAATTATTGAATCTCATCATGGTAGAGACTCACAGATTCCTTATGCAGCTCTCTCTTCTGACCGTCCGGCGTCTCGCCGGATTTTCTCGAGTAGGTGGGCTCGAAATAAGGTGAATGCTCTCGGATTGCGATTCCATAATAATGATATCTGAAACATTCCGATTCCAAGGACCGTCGACGACAGGCGAAGCGTATTTCCGAGGTTATTATGAGATTCGAGCTTCGTCACCACTGACCTTGATTGACCTCGTGTTCCCAAACGACGCGTGGTGAGTGCAGGAAACTGTTGACGAATTATCTGGAAGAAACTCGTGGCATGAGGAGCTCCACCGGAGCTTCCGACGTATGCTGAACATTCGACTTCCTCGATCATACCTTTCCAAAGCTCGCGGCGTTAACCGGTTGCATCGAATTCTTGGCACAGAAATCCACGTAATGGAGGTACAGAGTGTTGCGTGGAATGCACACTCCTTCGGCCATCTCGTAGTTCTCATCTAGCCTGCATTCAAATGGGCCTCACTCAAACTCCCTCCAAGATGAAGCTCGAGCGATTCTTATCCTCATATTCTCCCTCAGTAATTAGCAACAGGTCTATTACGCCTCTTACCACAGAAGTGTTGCGGGAGTGGAATGAGGGCGAAGGTTCCGGTACTTGACCGGTTCCTGGAACGAGCCTGAATAAGAACGGACGTGTGAGAAGAGCTTCCTAGACCTAGACAACACAAAACCGAGCGGATTCGATGAGAGCATGGGCTCTGGAGATCGATGCGTTGTGATTTCTTGATACCATATGATTGGCGTCCCGAAGAGGATAAGCCCAGACGCAGCTTATGGGCACCTGCATACTCGAGCGGAAAGCAGGAGCGGGCAGCACTTATTCCCTCTGAGCTCCCCCGCTCGTGTTCCAGCTTGATGATGGGAATCGTGGTCAACTCTTTTTAGGCGGGGGTGCTAGCTCCCCAAAGGAGCGCGGATCCAGCTTGAGATGAAGCTTCTATAGGGAATCGCGAGGAGAATCTGCGGTTTTCGCGGAGCCATTTCACGGAACACGATCTATTATGCTCCTGTCGATGATCAGAGAACGAAAAGTTTCGAAAATGGGTCGGTTCGGGTCCCCCCCGCACCACGCTCGACTTGAGTATTTCGATTTACGCTCGGAGGGCGGTGCCTTCACTCTGTTTCTCGTCCCGAATGTTCCGTATGGTAGTGGAAGATCACAGGTCAAGAGCCGGGTTGACCCTGCGCCGCGCCGCCGCGATGCATCGTTTCACTCATTTGGAGGTTTCTCCTTCGCGCCTCAATCCGACTACTTCTCAAGTCGACGGAAGAGAGCCCTCGACTCCCAAGATTCGATGACAACTTAGGACCCCTTTTTAGAATCGGGTCGACGAATACATGGCTTGCCATAACGAGCGACTCGCTCAGGGATCAAGTCGTCGGAGGTGGACTCGTCTGCAGCCAAGAGAAGACATTCGCAAAATCGAATTAGTTCGCGCCTCAAGTGACGATGAAACCATGCTCAGCGTGAGGTAATCCTGAGCTCGGAGCTCTGATTCAATATGCGAGCGGTCGAGGCGGAGTGGGAGAGGCGCCGCTCCGAGCTCGAGGGCACCCCAGTTGACGAGCGGAGGAAACGAGCTGCTTCCAATTAGAACATTGCAAGGACACGTGTCGCCAGGAAGCATGGGATAGCATTCAGATGCAGGAATTTGGCGCAGAGAGGCGCTTCGCGCACGAGTTCCTGCTTTCACGCATCCGAAGTTTCCAGCTCCAAGATTTGCTTTGCTCAGCGAGACGACGGAAGTTCCTCCGGCTGAAGCTCCGGTATCCGAATCGGCACCGAGAGCAATCAGAGAATCTCTACCCGCAAGAACTCGATGATGGCGTGGGCTTCCTACGCGATAATTGACTACCATAGAATCCGAAAATTCTCAGAATCGCCGATTAGAGTGAGAATTCCGCCCTGCTCATAAACAGGGGTCGCTTGAGAGCCTGTGTAACCCTCTCCCAGTAATCGAGAGCTGTATTCGAGTAGAGTGTGATCAAACTTCTGAATTCGATGAACTCCACTCCATCATCTTCTCGGACATAGCGAACATGAAGGGAACATTGATTTTGTTTTTCTGCCTCTTCGGCGTTCCGTCGTGGATGACGTCAGCGGGAGCCGCCCCGGATGCTTTCGACGGTTCGCGATCAACCACTGAGGACCAAGTTCCACTTTGGAGAAGATTCGTTAGCAAATTTCCTGTGCCGTGGTGGGGGCGAGAGGAAGAGGTCACACAAGTGCGAAGCTCGGAACCAGTGTCACGGAAGCGATGGTTGGAGACTTTGATGGAATTCACTCCCGAGTTTGAGCAGCGCTTCAGCAGCATCGTGGTGAAGAAGGACCCCTTCAGGAGACGCTTGGGCTCGGAATATGATCCGAGATTTTTCGGATCGTCCACACTCAGAGGTGATATCATGAGAGATATCGATCTACTTTCCGACGATGAGATTCACAACATTCTCAGAGGAGGAGACAGCGGATCTCCAGGAAATCGAGGGTCGGGAAAGGGACCCAAGAAACCCACCAATGCTCCCAAGCGATCTTTTTTCAAGAAAGTGTGGCCTTTCAAGAAATCTTCCAGTAACCACGGACAAGCGTGTCGCTCTTGGGGAATTTTCCCACCGGACCATTTCTGGAAACCAAACTTTCGTTTCGCAGAGAGGAATAAAGAGAAGACTCAACCAATTCCTCTGTCTGATAAACAATTGCTGTATCTGGCGAGAGAATTGACCAAACGGAAGGAGCAGCGCGAAGCGCGCCGCAAGGCGGAGCTCTTCATCCGCGCTGTATCTGAACTCAACGACGACGAGTGCGTAGAGCTCTTACTCTGCGAGATGGGTAATCAGAAGGATATCTACGAACGTTCGCTCAAACACATAGAAAACTTCTTGGAAAACTTCGTCTCGTACAAAGGAGAAATTGGATTGAGAAACCGAGCCACCGTGTTCCTGAGGGCGATTCGAATTGGTGTCACCGCGAAGGACATCAAGTGCTCGCTTGCCTACCCGGAATGTCACGCGAGCTCTGTGGAGCTCCGGCGAGCTAAATTTCTAGCGGCAGCTCCGGCGAAAATCGACAATTTGACGAAGCGTTCCGGATATGTGATCTACAAGATGTCTTAGGCCCAGAACTGGATCGTCCTCCTGGACTCGATGAATAAAAGTCTTTGTTCCCCTGGATTTAATACGGTTCCATTAAGATGTGGTGAGTGGTGAGGTCTCTTACTTTCGGTTCGGAAATTCGACGGAGCCCTCGGTGGGTATCTCGGAGCTCTCACCAGAATAAATTACTTCGATATCCTTAAGGAGGGAGCGAGCTAGCCAGCCAGCCGAGTCAACGCCCTGTCTCGCATGATTAACGTCGTATCACTGGAAGAGCCGGCGCGGAGTGCGAGAACTCGCTTGCGGACCGGGAGCGAATTCCTCAAGTCCATGGCGCCTGACCGCAGAGGCTCCTCTCTGACGCATCTCTCCCTCGGGAGATATCGCCGTTCCCCGTCAACAGCCGAATTCGGGGAAAGCACCGATAGAGATTGTCATCTGGGGAGGCGGGCGTCCGAGTCCCGGTCCAGAGACCGGAAGTTCATCAAATTGAGAGGCTAAGTAGCGAGCTGCGACCGTAGCCCCGAATTTCAGGGAGTCGACGCGTCGATGGCGTAGTCTTATCAGTGTAGGATGTCTCACCTTCGTAGGTTAGAGGGCGGCTCGGTTCCGGCGTGAAGGTCCTCTCCGCTTTCACACAAACAGGATCCTCAAGGTTATGAGGTGGAAGAGGAAGTGGGTCGTAAGCTCTCGAAGGATAACACTCTGCACTCAACCACGATGGGTCAACGGAGTTGGGAATCGAGCAATCAGGACCGATCAATCCGTTGCCGCAGTAATCGGAGACCATCATTTGACCTGCCAAGGGAGTATGATATCGTGAGTCGTGATTCGAGCCGGTCCCCAACAGGTGATACGGGCTCGAAGAAAATTGGAGCCGGCGGCACTCGATGTCCGCGGAGACCGCGGGATCCAGTCTTCCCGCACCTGATGCATCCTGTGTAGCCGTCGGAACCTCGGCGCAATGATGCGGATGTTGATTTAGGTGCGGCGGATGATGGTGCTGCGGTTGTGGCGGCTGTTGATGCTGCTGCTGTTGCGTGTGGTCCAGGGAATGATGTTGTTGTTGGGGTTGTTGCTGATGATGATGAGGCTGAGTAATTGTTGTCTGGTTCTGGGCATGGCCAGTGAGGGGAGTTGCGGCCACTTCATCCATTACGCTTAGGCGCAAGCGATCGAACGAACGAGACGTATTTGTCGGTTGTTGCGAGGAGACGAGCCCTGGAGCGTCACCAAGTCGGCCGTGGTTGTCGCCCGAGCAGCTAAGACATCGGTGCAGTTGTAGTTGCAGGACAGAAGCGGAAAACGAACTGTGACGTTGTCACGGACGAACTGATCTCCGTGACGAGCCCTGGCAACCTCCGGGAGATTCACTCTGTCGAGGTGAACAGTCATGCGCCGACACGCCTACCACGCTCGCAAACCCCGCCTTCTCGACCTGAGACTCCCGGCAATAGGTTGAACAAGCCCGGGATCTCATTTTTCCCCTTACGACATGAGGCCGCTCGATCGAGATTGTTCCAGCATCTGATGTCTGGAGTCCAGGCCGGAGACATGCTGCGAAATACGATTCGCTCGACGATGACACGAGTTCCCCGGATAAGTCCGGAATTCATTTCATCGAATATCTTTCAAATAAATATCGGCGAGCTTCCATCTGAGCTCGGATTTCGAAAACAGCTGACCGGTGGTATCCTTCCCTGCCCAGGGACCCAATCGGTACCTCGGCGGAACCCTCGCCCCCCGGAGATCAACGAGACGAGCCGGGAGGTCCGCATACCTGCATCTATTAACCTGGGACGAAATGATGCCGAATCGACTCCGATAGCTGGTTGCGTGCTTTCAGCCCGAGGGTCGAACTGATCGTTTTTTCTTCTGAGCTCCGTGGACTGTAGATGATGGATCGAGGACTCCGAGGACTACATTCTCGTGAAATGTCGTTTGGAACTAGATCAATCCGCGTGAGAGGTGAACTCGAATCAATGGCCGCATGAGCCTGCGCAGAGCGATGCGATGTATATCCCGGCGTGGATTCGCTTTTGGCGCGCGAGAGTTGACGCAGTTATGCCTCGCTCCTATCGTCCGCCGAGTACGCTCCGCCCATAGATGCCCTGTGTGGGCGGGGCTGCCGTTGCTCGGACTCCGCCGCCGATGGAAGACGAGTCGTGCAACGCCACATAACTCGACAATTAGTGACACCATTGTCACCAATTACAATCTCATTACTCGCGAGCTCCTTCGCCGGCATCGCTCGATGTCATGCACTGAGATTTTTACCCTGTCGCTTGTCTCGCTCGCCCCCGCGAGTTCCTCCGTGCTCTGCGAGGTTCGTTAGAGACAGAAAATCGGGGCGTCGAGGACGAGACTTCCGAGGCCTTTGCGTGGACTCGATGCATGAGGGGGTCGCGCTCACATCAGAGGGACGCTCCTGATCGTGGTGGAAGGCAGGAAGGAATGCTTCATTTTCGTCAATGAGAGTCCACCACGGACTTTTCGGAAATCTTCGATGTGCCAGCGATTATTGCTTTCTTGTCAGCTCTTCCGCCGTCTGGAATGATCTCGTTTCGTAGGGAAGAGTCAGAGCGAACTCCCGATTTTCCTGAAATGGGTCAGCCACTCACCATCCAGAATACTGCAATTCGAAGCTTGCTCGGAATACACCGATCAAACCCGCGACGCCACCCTTGGAGCAGGCGAACAGTTCGGGAAACTAACGAAGATGCTCTAGGAGTAGAACTCGATCTCGCAGTCGGGCGACATGGGCTCGGGGCTTCACGAGACTGAAAAACTAATCGAAAACATCTATTCAAATTGACAATATTGGAGGTTTGAGTGGAAAGACAGCTGCCGCTGCTATTAAAATCTGTGGTGCCCACCCGCGCTGCCCCTGCGCTTCTCGTGTTTCTCTTCAATATATGTCAACCTACCTGAGATTCGTTTCTACGCTCGGTCGTTCGCTCATTTGGTCGTTCGTCCTGCGGCTGCCAGCTCCCCCATCCGCTCGCTCCCTACCTCGCGTGCATGCTTGCTCAAATATTACCGCATTCCAGTGGCTCACAAAGGGGATATGGGAAACGTTGGTCTTAATTGGAAATATATTACTAGGCTCGCTTGCGGGTGGAGACGACCGTCGAGGAGAATATTCCAAAAGAGCCGTCATCGACTTATTCGAGGATAGGGAATTCTTCCCCCTGCAGGACTCCGACCCGGACGCCCTGCTTCCTCCAGGAGACCGTGAGTCCATGCGGCGAGCCAAATCCCGCCATTTAGGAATCGGCAGACAAATCAAACTCAAGGGTAAAAAAAAATGAGTTGCGTCTCGGTTCGAGTGAGATCTTGCCCGCCGGCATTTCAAACGCTACGATTTCTCGTGCGGACCTTCTCTCACGATTCTTTGGTACCGGATGCTGGCTTGTCTTCATTCAGGTCCGAGCTACCTTCCAGCAATGCAGAGCCAGCCTGTCATAAGTCCTGAATTCGCGTCGTCCCTATGCATCCACTAATCTCGTTCTCGAGATTCATGTCGCCCCCGAGAGTCCGTATCGACCGGTGGCAACATTATCAGCCTTGGCGACGGACTTTCAGGCTCCCTCTAGGGACTCGGAAGTTTGACTCAATTCTGCCAATGGTGCCCAAATAGAAAGGCGCCAACACATCCTGGTAGAAGCTCTCGGGCTGGAGCGGAGAAGCTCTGCCCCCGTCGTTGCTCCGTGATTCCGGAATCCATCCCGCTTACCGGCTCTTTCGCCCGGTTGGTCAGCGAGGGGGATCGTCTTGCTCAGATATCCATCTCCCGTCAGTGTTCTTGGAGAGCGAAATCGATCCCTCGAGTTTGCGGCACGTGGCGCGTGCTCATACTTCTCGTCCCCAAGCGGAATCTGGAACCGCGGAGGGCCGCTCATCATTCTTATTCCGAATTATTCGAGCAGGTAAATCTCTTCGGTGGATGATTGGAAGTCAACTATGGCTCGCATCAGTGGAACGTCGAATTCGTCGACCGAGTTTTGCTCACTGAGAGATCCACCCCAGAAGGTTTCGACTTCCGACTTGAAAGGTTTTCCGGATGTTTTCTCTCTTTCAGCACAGATACATACATACAAGGAGTTCATGATCTGTGCGATTTCGACCTCCTGGCACATCGCTGACTGCCCCTAGATATCCAGCCAGCCCCACACGGCTGAGAATTCACAGCTGACCGGAAGCGGATCAGGAAAATATACGTATCTGGTCGGGGTCACGATGCGGATAATACCGAGTTCCTGCGATATCGTGCGCCCTTTGCGAGGACTCGGCATGAGCAGAGAATATCCCCTGAGGTCTTTTCAGCTGAATTATCTAATCCGTACACCACCGACTCGCGGGCAATTTCATCGAGAAAGCAGATCCGTTGAGCTGAGCTCCGATCTCTTCAGTAGTGGCCGCTGTGTCTATCAATAAGACGGAATCGACATTGAGGAAGAAACGTCAACGTGGAGACAGTCCATCAGAGGGCAAAGATTGAGTCCATGAATTGACGATGCGCGATCGGAAGCATCTAGAGTGGAGAAACGGCCAGGCAGATGTCACGTTTCCCCGCCCAGAGTTCCCGTCCCGTACTGCAATTGTTGCGCGAATCCCGAACTTAGACTCATCATGAGAATGAGCCAAATGATAGAAAGTCTTGGCGCCTCGAGATGATACGGGAATCTACTCGGATAACGCGCGAGCGCCTTCATTTCTGCAGAGAGGGGGGGGGCAAGAAAAGCTTCAACCTCGAGAAGCGCTCCTCTCTCGAGTGGAAACATTTTTAGTGGCACCTCATTTGACATCCCGATGACTCCGCTCATAAGATGATATGATATATGTGATGTCCTCGGAATGAGCCACAAAAAAGGATTTGCTGGAAGAAGCGAGTATCGTAGAAACCCGATTCCGCGCGAGTGCAGTCGACGCCGCCAGGGCTCCGAGCGCGTTTCTCACGCCTTTTCCGTGATGGCGAAGGCAGACCAGTGATTCGTCTCATTGTTGGTTTGATTACGGCATTTTCCGAAGAGGATTCATCCTTCAAGGACGAGTGGACACAGAGGCCAGTCGAAAACAGTAAGATGCGATCTTTTGTCAAAGCGAGTTCAACGTTTTCAGTTTTCGGGCTCGACGAAGCGAATCGGTTTCCTGGATCCACGTGAGAGGCTTCTGGTGGAAAGCAAACAGAGCTCAGAAGCGCCGCTCACGGCACGATTGAAGAGGAAAGCTGACCATTCGGCGGTTATTTAAGCGGCTCTCCCATCGGACAGAGTATCCACTTCGAGCCGAGCCTCAACAGCCATGTTCAGTCGCGTGGTGAGTATTAACGAACTCCGTGAGGCAAAGGAGAGAATCTGCTACCACGGAGGGTGTAGAGCGACTAGTATTCCAACTCAGACTTCAACATATTTCAGTTAGTCGCCTTGATGCTCGCGGTTTTCGCAGCCGCAGTGCTCGCGAAGGAGGCCACTGAATCGACACCGACGCCGACGGTCAGCCGAGTCAAGAGGAGCGCTCTCTACGGAGGCTATGGTCTCGGTTACGGAGGATACGGAGGGTACGGTCTCGGATACGGCGGCTACGGAAGCTACGCATACCCGGCCTATCGCTCCTACACCTACGGATATCCTGCCTACTACAGCGGCTATGGGGGATACAGCGGCTACGGAGGCTACGGCGGATACGGTGGCTACGGCGGTTACGGAGGATATGGGAGCTACGGCGGATATGGAGGATACGGCGGATATGGAGGATACGGTCTAGGTTACGGATATTGAACAGTGTGAATTTGTGCTCGCAGGAAATAAAATTTCGAGACAAGGAATTTGCTCAATCAGACATGTTGTTCTCGGTCGAGACTCTCCGATGCTCGCGTCCTCGTACAGCGATTGGCTGCCGAAGGCCTGCTTGAAACTGTCTCCTCCCGCTTCGAATGGAAATCCGAAATTGTGTGACGGAAGCGGTACCTTCCGAATGTGCTCGTCTTCGGGGTCGTGTAAGGTGGACACGATGTGTCTCCTCGGGGACCAGGATTCCCGCTAAACGGGACGAATACATCATCGGACGAATCTGAGCTCTCGATCACAGGTTGAGGGAAGCCGCGAGCCTGCCGAAACAGCTCAGCGTCCACGTGGAATCGATCGTTAGCTCCTCCGGGAAACCTCATGAATCTTTGATGCACGTCCATGAACCACAATAGTGTGGTGCTGCAAGCGCTCAACATCACAAGCAAGAAGAAGATCATCAAGATGCTCTCGATGTCATTCTCACTATGTCCTCCTAAGAACTGCTCGCCGCTCTCCGTCATGACCTGGGCGGCCGAGATCACCGGCTGGATTTTGTCTCTCACTCCACACGTCGAAAGTCCGAAATCGTATTCTATTCGTATCGCGGAATCACCCATGTTTCATGCTGCCAGGAGCCGCTCTCGATAGGATTGAAAACGACGACATCGGCGCCGCATCATACAAGCTCACAGCTTCTCGAAGAGAACGCAATTAAGATCTGATCTCTGAGTCTCTGAACTAAGAGAGAGAGATCCTCTCGCATCAGGAGGCGAGGAACGATAAATCGTCTCGCAGCCCACATTCTTCGAATGACGCATCAGGGAAGGTATATGTATTCCTTCAGAAACTTTGATCAAATCTAGGCGAACGCGACAGAAGATTCCAACCGATGAGTACATTTCGAGCCGCATTAATATTGTGATGTCGATGCTTGGGTGATTACTGGAGTTCTTCGTCTACTCAGTGAGAGCTTGTAGTTGCGCAATGAGAAGCATCATCCGAGTCGGGGAACTGATACAACGGAAACCACTTATGAAAGCACGAACAAGCCCACGCGAGATGACGCCGACGGCTTCTGGGATAGTGAAACGCGGCCTCACTTATGCAAAGATGGAACACATCATGTAAACTTTCTGGGAGACTTCCGAGTTATGAGCATCGGATAGTGCAACTCTCGCCGCTCCTTCAATCCTCTTTCACAGGGGAAATGCGTTTTTTTTCGTATCTGCGATAGACAGGGAGCGGTTTTCCCCCGCTATGAGCGCGCCGCCAGTGAGACTTCTGCCCGGTCGAGCAGACGCAGACGCCGGTCACAGTAACGGTCATCATATGCACTAAATAGTTATCATGGGAACCCTCAAACGAGGAGTTTTCCGTCGCATCCGTTCATCTGTCGGTAAGAAATTCCATCCTGTTCTCTCTGATCGAGTCCGCCTCTCCTGCGATTTCTTTTCGGCGTGGGTCCTCCTCAGAAGCCCTCGACTGTGCTCGGGACCCCCAGCGATATGATTCAGAAGGGACTAGTCGGTGGCTCCGCCGGACACCATTTGTCCACCACGTCATTGGATAAGCACTCCCTGTGAACAAAGTGATTCTGCGTCACGGCTGGTCGATATTCTCGCACGTAATGTCGAAAACATTCTCCGGAAGATCCCGGCATAACCTATTTTCCCCGAGTCCCCGAGAACGGGAGCCGAGAACCCCGTTTGGGAACCTCAGGTCCCAGATGATGTCCGATCGCGAATCATATGCGTGCGTATAGACACTCGGGTCAAGTCGAGCTTCTGGGGCTGATGCTCAGAATTGGAGCTATCGCCCACAGAACCGCCGAGACCGCGCACACATGACCGGCAGGTTCGGGGACGCGTCTCTTCATTCATTGATTTTTTTCCAAAACTTGTATCCGATGCGAAAGCCCATTTTCGATCAGATGGGCGCTTTTGAGGCATTGCAGCTCCCGCGGATGTTTCGATAGCCACAAGAGCTCTTCCAACGCGATTCTCGCGATGATCTTCCGCGGCAGACAGAGGAAACAAATTCCGACACAAAGGCAGAATCTCATGCGTGTTCGGACATTCGCGTGGTCTGCGCGCGTCGACCTTCGAATTTTCATGCCCACAATTGGTGTTCCAATCAAGTGAATTCGATTCTTGTCTCTTCATTGCCAGCGACTGATTCGCGGTATCGGATACCCTAGGCATCAATGAGCTTCGGCACGTAATTATGATGGTTTCCTGAAGTTACTCGGAGCTTGACCATATTTTTCGTGGAAGAAAGGGCCGAATTTTCGATCGTCGACTGGTGCCAGGAATCACTCGCAACGCTGGTGGCGATCCCTTGTTTTGATGCTTGACTTGGGAAACTGCTTGAGCAATCTAAAGCCTCGTTTATTGGGGATTATCCGCTGAAACGGTAGCTTGCACTTTGCGGGGATACGGGGAGAGCTGTTGCAAACCTGGATGGGGGAGGGCGCCTCACGCCATCCCGTTGAGGAGGCTCTTCTTTCGCTCGGTGATAATAATGAGGTGAAATTGTCTGGGAAGAATTCGCCTGATTCCGACGAGAACCTCCGGATCCACATCTTCCTGTGACCCTTGTCAAACGATCAGGAAGCAGGTGTCCACTTGGGATTGGCGTGTTGATTGAACGTAGGAATGTTTCGAAAAAAAATCCGTGCCGAGGTCCAATGGGATCAGAAACGTAATAATTTTGTTCTGGAGTCCGAAGAGCTCTTCTGGATGCGAGACGTCGCGTGAGCCGACCAATTCCGAGCTCTTGTGTCCCATGCTGCTCGCGGCCACCAATTGGTTAGCATTGGAAAGTCTCAGATGAGGCTGATTCCATGGGCAAATGTCCTTCCGATTGACTTCCCGGGTGGAAATCGCCTAAGCACATGGATTTTTTGTTCGCATGTAGAACCGGCCCCTGAGAGCATTTCGTAGGAAGGTCCGAAAACTCGGTCCCAGGCCGAACTAAGGTATGGCTCTGAATTCCCGGTGAGTAGCTCATTTGTCGATCCCAATGAAAATTATGCCCATTGATAGACTCGTCCTCCCACTGAAAGCGACGCTCCCGTGGGACGCCCGATCGCTAAGAGGGGAAACCATCTGCGACGTTCCCGAATGTTGGTCGCCGAGCAGAGTCCTGCCTCGAGAGCCAGAGTTGCGGGGACCGGAGAAGTCCTGAGTAAGTGAAAGCCAGACTTCTACGAGCCGGAAGGGAGCTGTTCTCGATCGAGATGCATTTGTTCAGACGCAGTCCTCAATCGTCATCATCGAGGATACGCTCAGAGCGGTAGCGCGATGGTTCACGTAACTAGTCACTTCGCACTCGTTTAACGTTGTGCGGATGTCTCCCTCCTCTCTCTAAGAGGAGGGGGAAGAACCTCGTTGGGGTATACGTACTCCGAATGTGGAAGGATCACGCGACTTCGATGTGGCTCGTTCCCCAACCATTTTCCAGCGGGACTTTGGAGTAGCCGCTGTCCGCCCCATGCAGCACGAGTTCCCATTTCCGGAAATAGGGCGACGCTTCCATGTTCCTGGAGGAAGGTCCGAGCATCGCGCTCCGTGTCGTGCAACAGTGATCTGCGAGTGCATCGAGACCTTGAAAAAATGCGAAGATGAGGGAGAAAAGCGGAAAAGCCACTTCTCCGAGACGGGTAGGCTCCGATGGAGCTATCGCCTGAAAGCAGGATCTCTAATACGCGTTTCTGCGACAGTCTGAAGGGGGAACTTGAATCAGAAGCCTCGACTGAATGCTTCACAAGCCTGGGCTCAAACTGGAGGAAAGTTCAAGTGGAATTCGTTATGAACTCCGACTAATGCGGCTCGGAAAACTGCGGACCAGGAATCGAGCGAATGATGAGAACGTTCGAGGCCGGAGGACTCATTAAGGATTGGCGCCCTGATCGGGATTGCGTGCACGAAACTTGAA